AAGATAATTGTTAATGCAGGATATTCTTAGTACGTTGAAAGGATATTTCTTTTAGCCTGAACAACAGGGTAAATTAAGCTGCCATCTATTAAGATGGAGAAATTAGTGGAGGAGAAGGCTTGGATATCAGTGGTCAGGCAGGCTGGGCTGGGGAACATGAACTAGGGGAGGCTAAGCACTTAATTACTTGACATAATTTTGAAATAGCTCTAACAAGTACTTCTGAGTGGAAGTATCAGATGGATAGATGGTTCTGGACTCTAGAAGTGTGGTCTGTCCTGAAGAAATCAATTTTTAAGTATTGATTGAAGAAAATCATTATGGCAAGATGGGAGGAGTTGAGAAGAAACCAGCAAAGAAGCCTGGGTGTAACCAGTAGAGTAGACTGGGAAGTCTACTAAACTCGATTTCCAAAATGTCTTCAGAGTAATCATAGTATTCCTAGATCAAAACACAGCAACTGTGAAAAATGACCTTGGTTGTGTGGGCTGTTACTGCGCAAGTACTCCGCTCTTGGAAGGAGCTCCAGATCAGTTAGAATTCTGTGTTTGCTGTCTGTCCATGTAGGGTTGGCTTTGTGCCATTGAATGATGATTCTGAGAATAAATATTAATGTCATTTTTAAAGGGTGATGCATTTATGTAGAATCCGTATGAAATATGAGAATCGGAACAGAACAAGAAATGCAGTGGTTTGCTAAGCCACACAGAAGGACAGTTTTATGAGATTTAGCTATTTTATATTCTTCTGTCAGAGGTAGCAAATTGTTTTCCCTTTGAGTATGGATTTAACTTTTTAAATTACCCAGAGTCATTTTAATGTTAGGTAGAGGGAAATTGGTAAATCAATATTACATTCTGGATGGTAATTGGGTGTTATGTCCCCAAAGCCTTACATTTTTATATACACATTGACAGGACAATTCTGCCCATAGTAATTTATTCCAAGTAAATAGCCCCAGACGTTTGCAAATATTCCTTTATGATATTGTTTGTTGTAGAGAAGTTGGGAGTAATCTAAACTGCAGGATTTTAGAAAAAAATGATTTTTGATATCCATTCAGCACTATACTTTGACATCATTAATGTTACTGTTGTGGAAAATATCAAATGATGTGGGAAAACTGTGAAAGCGCAAACAAAACAGAATGTGAACTGAGGGTGATAGTGCATGCCTATTATTTTAGCACTTGGGAGGCTGAGACAGGAGGATCATGTATTTGAGGCAAACCTGGAAATGTACAGTGAGACCTTATCTCAAAGAAACCCCAAAACATCAGAATGTCAAAGATTATATGTTCACATACCTGTGAATAGACTTACATACAATGTAAGGATGTGTTTTCATATATTTCAGATATTAGAGTTTATTTCTATAGAGAGGAATTAGAAAACACTTTTTTCTTATTTTTTCTAAATATTCTACAAGGACCACATAAGCACTTTTTGAAGTGGGAAAAATAAAAAATAAATTTAAATAAGTAAGAATCATGGATATTAAGACAAATGTCTGATGGTTAATATGTGTAATCCAGCAAACATCCATCCATTTAATAATAAAATCATAAAAGGAATTTTAAAATTATCTGGAAAAACAGCAACACCATTGAAATAATCATATAACTTCCCAAGAGAACAGCTGGGAGACAATATAGTGATTTGGATTTGAAATTTTTTATGAGGGTAGAAGCGTATTTTAAACTGAGTTATTTAGCCGGGTGTGGGAGTGCATTTAATTCCAGCACTTGGGAAGTAGAGGCAGGTGGATCTCAGTAAGTTTGAGGCTGCACTGGTCTACATAGTAAGTTGCAGGACAGCCAGGGCTATGTAGAGAGACTGTCTCAAAAAAAAAAAAAAAAGATGAGGTATGATTTCAATAGCACAGTGATCAAAGTTCAACAAGTTTTGGAAAGCATTATATATCCCATATTTAAAATATAGTTGAAAAATCATTTCTTACATAAATTCTTACATAGATACAGACCTTAAATAGTTTCTAAGCATTTTTGAGGGGATTTTCTCTCATGGTAGTTTCCAACTTGTGCTCTGATCTGTGTCCCCAAGTATACAGGCCCATATGGTTCATATCATTTACTTTTCTTGGACTTCATGAAGGAAGAGTTTCTTCCATCATGGTTCAGGGATACAGATCATCACAATTGGGAAGGCGTGGTTGCTGGGCCATCTGTGTCTGTGGCTGCAGGACCGTGCAGTTGTGCCTTCCAACATGGCAACTAACCAGAATCAAGACCAAGTTATCACCCCGAAAGGTTCTTCCCCAGAGTTTCACCCCCTATCAGACAGGCCTCATCTGTTCCCAAACAGTGCTATCAGCTGGAAACCAGGTGAAAAATACATAAAAGCCTATGGGAGACATTTGAGATCCAAAGCATAACAAGGGCCAAGTTAGAAACTCCACAAGTAGACTCAGTGATGACATCCAGTTTGCTATAATGGATTGGGAGGGTAGTCCACTTACAAAAGACCCAAGACACTGTCCCTTCTCTGCCTGGTGCCAGTAATGATTGCAGTGCAGCGAGGCTCCCACAGGTGGACACATAGGTCCTATGAGAACTTGGACCATGGAATTGCAGACTGCTTTCATTAGTGTCCCTTCTCTATTACAGAAAAAGGAGTAACTTGTATTTTAAAATAACCGGTCCCACCTCTTTAAATAATGTATAGGATATTTGAGTTGTTTGCTTAGATTTTTGTGGGTGAGGTTTAGGGGAATAATAAATATTAGTAAGAACTGCTGGACTTGAGTATACTCTGGTTTTACAGGGATTTGTGGCCTCCTAGAATAAAGAGATGTTATAACATTCTAACATACTACTGGAACTGTTCTCTAGGACCAACCTTTACCAGGCTATTGTCCCAAACTGCTATTGTCAACACTATTTGCATAAAACTTAACCAATGAGTTTCATCTACTATTGAGGCCCTGGAAAGCATCAACCCTAGGAATTTCCAATCAAAATAGTCTCTGTTTAGCAGTTCCATATGATTTCTGAACTTTGAAATTTTTGTTTCTTAGAATTAAAGATCCATCCCCAAGTCTTGACAGTCGGTAATCTAATTATTTGAGTAGTCTTTGCAGTCAAGAGGCCTCCTGGAACATAAAATAACAATAATAATTCATCCCGACATTATGTTGAGTACTTTCATGGTTAATCATCTTTAATTCTGATACAGAAAACCACTGTGAAGTTGGTAGCATTATTCTGACGATCTTTTTCAGATGAAGCAATTGAAGCTAATAAAGGCTGTGTATTTATGTCGTGAATAATGATGATGAAAGTCCCATCCATCTCATCTGCCTATGGCAACTGTGATCATAACTGTTATCCTGTGTTTCTCTCTTTGATTTCTGTCATCTTTTTCTCTTTGGCATTATTGTGTGTAATTGAAGTGAACCCACCCCTGACAGCTGGTCTTTTCTTCCATGGTGTGTACTTCTTGAGCAAACTCAAGCTAGCAGAATCTGACCTTCTGGAAGACGAAGAATTCCCAGCCAGAGGAAGCATCTTTGATCCAGTTGCTAGCTAGCATACCTGATAAAGCCTAAGAATTAAGCCCTGAGCTCCTCGAAGCATGCTGCATCATCATGTAATTTCCATTCCTTGCTTCAGCTCCTACAGAACACATCGAGATAGTTTCACTTTCTGGAGCCCATTCATTGACTTGAGAATCATGCACTTCCCCAGTCCATCCCTGTCATCTAGCAACACCAGAAAACTGACCGTTTGCCTTGAGATAGCTTGATGTTGAAGTCAACCCTAATTCTACATAGGAGCAAGCTTTGTTGGATATAACATAGCTTGGAGCTTCCTGATGACATGAATTATTTCCATTTTGTTCACTAATAAGATGTTCTTATCACCAAGGAAAATATTAAGAACTGAGTAGTTCTTAATGAATAATCCAGTGACATATCTCCTAGAAGTGTTAATCTCCTGTAAGAAACTCAGTTGTCTGTTCTAGTTAAGCTAATCAGCCCCTAGTAATGCCTCTAGTAGCTACAGAGGCACCCAAATACAACTAAAAAGTCCTGTGCTTCTCTTAATGACTTCTGCACCTCTTCATGGGAAATCACAGGGTTTAATGCATCCGAGACACTTAGGATGACCAAATAATGTTGATTGCACTTTAGCAATGAAGAGATTCCTTACATCAAGGAGCATTCCAGTACTAGCCCAACAAGGGATGCTTTCTTAGATGAAGCTTGTGTAGTCTTTAGTTTCTATATACTATCTCTGGACTTTACTATGGATCTTGATATTGATTTTCATGAGTGGATTGGAACTTGGAATCTTCTGATAGATCTGTGCCATTTTCAAGCCACTTAATGATGGTTTGAATAAGAATGGATCCCATAGGTTCATATATTTGAAATGCTTAGTCACCAGGAAATGAAACTGTTTGAAAGGATTCTAAGGACTAGGAGGTGTGGCCTTTTTGGAGGAAGCATGTCACTGGGGGTGGGCTTTGAGGTTTCAAAAGTCCATGCCAGGCCCAGTCTTTTTCTTTCTGCCTACAGATCTAGACCTACAGATGTAGAACTCTCAGCTACTTCTCCACCACCATGCCTGCCTGTGTGCCTATGACGACAATGGACTAACCTCCAAAACATAAGCAAGCCCCTGATTAAATGCTTTCTTTTACAATTCTTGCCTTGATCATGGTGTCTCTTCACAGCAATAGAAGAGTGACTAAGACACTCTTGTTTTATTTATTACTTACAGCACTACTTTCCAAATAAACTGAGTTCTATTTCATTGTGTAATGTGTACTTAGATTTTATTCTTATACAAATGTCTTTCATGCTGCACATAGGACAAAGGATATATCCTGTTTGAGTGATCTCTCCTATGTCTGGCCAGAGGATAATTTATTGATAAATTGTTAGTAAATATCTAATTCTTTTTCACTTCAAACATAGTCACTGGCACTAAATATCTGGTACTAAATAATCCTTTGTTTCTTTTTTTATTTTTCCAGGCAAGAAAACTGATCAGTGATTTTGCCATTATCTTGTCTATTCTCATATTCTGTGTAATAGACGCCCTGGTAGGTGTGGACACTCCAAAACTAATTGTGCCAAGCGAGTTCAAGGTGAGTGGTTGTCTCTCTTTTGCTTGGTCCTCAAACCCTTTGGCTTTCTTTCTTTTCCCCTAATGTAGTTTGCTGTGAATTTACTTCAGTTAGTTGTGCATAATTAGCCTTTTTCCCCTCAAAGTCACCCCTCACTAGGCTCATTTAGAGTTGGTCTAGTTTCTTCACTAAAATTAAATGCCACAGTTAAGATCAATTCAGGTTTGTGCTTTATTGACTTTTATCTTAAAATAGCGTATAGCATGAACTAACTCTTCCTTATATATTTTAGGATATTTCAGATGCTCTTATAGACCTGATTGTCCTTATTCATGTAGCAGTTCTGGGACGTGCACACATAACTAGCACCATGGCTGTTTTATAAACCACTAATGCTCATAAACATTAAGTGAAATGCCTGTCATTGTTTAAGTAGTGGGGGCAAGCTGTGAAGGTAGAATTCAAGCCTTCACATTCTAACTTAGGGGTCTTTCCCTCCTGCCAAAATACCTGCTAGGAACACTTACAATATGAAGTTTAATTGTTGCAAAGAGTACAGGAGAATTGTGTGTGTGTGTGTGTGTGTGTGTGTGTGTGTGTGTGTGTGTGTGTGTGTGTATAATGTATAAAACTTAAATGTCAGTCATTCATAGTTATATTTCTATGTAGTTTTCTGTTGCAAGATTTAACTTATTTTCTAGAACAGTCCTTTAGTCTCTCTTCTTCACTACTGAGATAATAATGTCAATTATTATTAAGCTGATGGCAGTTTTAAACAACCAGTTAATGAGAAAGGGATGTGCATGCATATACACATACATGACAGTAAAGAATATATTTGGCATAATATCATAGTCATTAGCAAAGATAAATTCTAGTTAATTTCATAAGTAATGCATTTAAATCAGTATTTTCTAAATGTTTGCTTGCAGCCAGACTCCATCCTAGGGGGTTGAAATGCTTTATAAGCAAGATGAAATATCTTGCCGTACAAGCTCACAATGTGTGGTACAGGTAGTGTGTGAAGATGGATTCTGTTTTGGAATTTTGAGTAAAAGGAGAGAGGACATGCATCCAGGGTTTGTATTTATGCTTGTAAGTCTCACACTCAGGAGACTGAGGCAGGAGGAGGATTGCTATAAGTTCAAGGCTAGCCTGTGTTACATAGGCAATTCCAGACCAGCCTGGGCTGTAGAATAAGACCCTGTCGAAAAAAGAAAAAGAAAAAAGAAAAAAAAGGAGCAACAAATTCATAAATAGTATTTTATTTACATTCATATGCTTTTCTTAAAGTAAGAAGTAACAGAACATTCGCTTTCTGTAGCAGGTATATACAGCTACTGGAAGCGGGAAAATGACAACTTTCTCTGGTTTTCTGAAAAAGTTCTGGGGATTTAATCACTTCTGTGTAATTTTCACTTGTAAAATAAGAGATCCAAATGTTTCAATTAGTTCAGCTATACCATGTAAAATAATAGTTTTTTATGTGTTATGAAGCCATTTATTTGGCGGAAGTAGAAACAACTTCTGTTCAATGCTAAAATTCAAACAGAATTTGTGATAGCTTTGTAATTTTTTGGTTGCCTCTTCATGGAATATTACATCTGGGGTTTTCTTCTGTGTCCCTCAAATATTATCTTTTCTTTTTCCACCTGATGCTTTATCTCAACTCATTTCATGTATTCTCAATGTCGCCCCCTACTTTTCTGATAGACCATAGTTTTCATTTCCTTTAGGGATTGTCTCAAAAATGACACCTTCTGGGTAGACTTCTGTTAAATAATCTTTTCCTCCAGACTGTGACTGTTTCTACTTCTTAATATGTTGACCCTCCAAAAATTAAATATTTCTTTAACTACATAGCCTATATTAACATTGTTCTGAAAAAGTTTCTCTCTTTGGTTTTAGCCAACAAGTCCTAACCGGGGTTGGTTTGTCCCGCCGTTTGGAGGAAACCCCTGGTGGGTGTGCCTTGCTGCCGCTATCCCGGCCTTGTTAGTCACCATTCTGATTTTCATGGACCAGCAAATCACGGCTGTGATTGTGAACAGGAAAGAACATAAGCTCAAGGTAAGCACCCCTAAAAGTGGTGGTCATTGACTTCTACTGACTTTTTAGTTCCTGACAATGTCTATTGATTCAAAACCAAGAGAGTTTTATTGAGAGTTAGACTATAATGAAAAGTCATACAAAGATCAGTTTGGGTTGACAAGGAAGGTCCTTGGTGTAATATCTCAGGATGCACTTACTTAAATAGGAGGAAGGTGTTTCAACTTGTGTTTCTGTCGCTGTAGAGGAAAGGGTATATGCATCAGTCTTCCCACTTCTGGTTTGGGTGTAGTAACCACCTTCATGAAGACGTGGTAATCAAAGATTTAATTAAGGTACCTGCTCTCTGTTAAAAACTCAGATTTTTTTCCTTTCCAAGAAATTTTTAGGGGCTAGTAAGTGGGTAACTAGGTGATAGAGTGCTTATCTACATTTTAAGACCCTAGGTTCCATTCCCACTACTATACACACATAAAAAAATTGATTACATCTGTTTATAGGTTTAATGTGACAATTTGAAACATGTAGACAGTATATAATGACCAGATCAGGTCAGAGTAATTGATATTTCCATCTCTTTAATCATATCAATTCTCAGTGCTAGGGGATGAGCAAAGATTTATTATTAAAGATTTTTTTCAGAAATCCAGTTACAAGCTGTTGGTAAGCATTCATACCCCCCCCCACTTTCCTTAAAAGATTCGTCTCAGGATATTACAAACCATAAAGTATGGAGGAAATTTTTTTATTCTTATATTTTAGGGTTTGCAAACATTGGTTTAGTAGCATTGTCATGAGCCCAAAGAAAATGTTTTAGTGGTATATACATTTACCATACAAAATGGTATAGGATATCTTTCAAGAGAGCTGCCTAAATTGTTACTATAGCGGGTAAATTTTCTCCACATCTAATGCTACTTTAAGTCACTTTAGGTCACAAATAATTTCAAAAATACCATGTAGGGGATGAGAGAGGAATAATAAAAGTAAAAAGAGTTAAAAACTTAATGGTTACTGACTATGAACCAGGTCATTTTCTAAGCACTTTATATTATATATTAACTCATTATCTTTTCACTGTCACCATATAAGAGAAGCATGAAAATGTATTAGAATCACATGGAATGGCCAAAGAAAAAAACCCAGAGAGGGTAAAGCATGTGAGTGTAGAAACATACCAGGAAGATGACTTAGAGAAATGATAAACTATCCAGTAAGAGCTACAGATGAGGGTGAGGAAGAAGTAAATCCCATAACTCATAAAACTGGGAATAGAAGAGAACTGAAGATTTCATTAAAGAGGAGATGCTTCCGTTTAGAAGTTTTGGGGGAAAGAAGGCAGTGATGAACTCCACACAGTGTGACTCATTCCAGAAGGTCTGGGTAGGTGGCAGTAAGGACTGTAGTTGAAGGCCTCGCCTGTGTTGACTTTTTGGCACAGAGGGTGGTCAAGAGGAGAGCTTCCTGGACAGCCTCTGAAATCCTAAGGGAAATAGCGGTATGGGATTCAGTGATTGCCTGGCACATTCAGTCATGTGGAAGGGTAGAAATGAAGACTGGCTTGTATTTCAATAGAAGGGGAATTATGGGAGCATGAGAATGACTGAGGCGTGTTCCCAAAGAATGCTGGAAGTCAGAATGCAGAATTTTACAGAATAAAAACTTGAGGTGGTCACTGATATAAAATAAGGCCCTGATTTTGGATTATCATTGGGGGAACTCCCATTAACATAATTGCATTGTATTATTCATAAGATGAATAGATAAGATGACACATTTTCAATTTGAAGACTGTTGTTTGACTGCTGATGTGTCTGCGCCTTGCTCCCATGACAGAACTGCAGCCCATTTTTCAGGCTTTTATCGAATGCTTTACAGTGTCCAACTCTGAGTCTCATATTCTAAGCCGCTAATTCTCTGAGCAAATAACTAAGAAGCGCAATGGGGACAATTCTCCCTTCTTGTCATCTTGTTTTGATTTATGTTTATAGATGTGTGCCTGTGTGAGTGTATGTCACATGTGTGTGGGTGTCTGCGGAGGTCAAAAGAGAGCATTAGGATCCCCTGGAGCTGAAGTTACAGGCAGTTGTGGGCCACCTGACTGGGTGCTGGGAAATGAACTTAGGTCCTCTGGATAAGGAGGGGGAGGGGCTCTTAACCACTGAGCCATCTCTCCAGACCCTCAAAACTTGTTTCAAAAATCTGATATTACCAAAGTTCATTAACTTCTTCTATGCCTAAACAATTCATTTGTTATAGGTTGGGGACAGAAGCAAGGAGAGAACTTTATGTGATTGCTTCCCATTGAGAACATTTAAAAATTATCAATATATTATTTTATGAAAAACTTTACAACTGAATATAGGACTTGAACTGAGGTCCTCACTCTTTCATGACAAGCATTTTACCAGCCCAATATAATAAACTTTAAACAGAGTTTATTTGGTTAAATCAGGACCCAAATGCCATTTGCACACTTGCCATTTTAAAATATTTATAAACTTTTAAGTCTATAGATTTTTCCCTCCACCCCTCTTGATTTTCTTTACTTTCAAATTTGTTCAGCACAATAAGGTTGTTTGTTTCTCTTTCTATGGCATTGTTTTGCCATTAAGAAGCTATTGAACACCTAAGTGTGGCTTTTAAAACAACAACAGAAATGGATTATTATTAGTTTTTATTCTGTGGGTTCACTGGTTCTTCTGCAGGGCAGTTCTTGCTTGGAGTCTCTCTTGGTATTGAAGTTAAATAGTATCGGATGGTGTCACCTAACATCTTAACTGGGCTGATTGCCCATGGTTACTTCCTCACTTGTGTATATGACTTATGTGTTTAACATGTTGTTTTTCCATGAGGTGTCTGCCTTCTCTGTGTCCATTTTTCCCCATGCAGCATGCTCATACACTGTCACACACATGGTGATTATATATGTCTCTTTCGTGCTACCCCACCTCACCACACAGCATCTTATCCTCCAGGGCTTTTCTATGGGGCTTGAACTTCTCACAGCATGGTATTTACACTTGCTCCATGGCAGCTGATTTCCATGAGTTAAGAAGTGCAAGATGGCAAAAAATTTCCTGGCTACACCTACAACTGTTAGCTTTGCTTCCTGACTTGACCCTAATCAATTAGCTAAAGAAGTCATAGTCACTCATGCTAGAGGATGTGGAAGGAATCCATCTTTGAATGTAGAATGGCAAACCATGTTAAAAACAAAAACATCAGCACATTACATGGGGGATATTTCCCAGCCATTTTTAGAAAATAAAATTAAAAAAAATACCACAGTCTATATTGGTGATTGCTTCCCCCATAGTGTCATATACTATGCTCTGTTGTCTTCAGCATTTTCTTTAAATGGTCACTGTATTCAGAAAGTTGGGAAGGTATAGATTTTATGTTATAAGTAGATTATTTATGATATATATTATTTATCTGCCTATCCATCCATCTCTCTCTCTCCCTCTCTGTGTCCATTCATTGCTTAATATATGCATACAGATACACATATACAAGGAAGGAAAGGTTAAAAGAATAAAGCCACAACCACTTTAAACTCTATTTTTAGCTTGGGCTTTTCTAAGCCACATAGGTAATGTGAATTCCAGTCACAAAGTCGATTGCAGGTTTATGCTTAAGAATGTCCTTGGAGATTCTTCCTTATCTGACATTAACCTCATTGGGAAGACTGAGAGATGCACAGCTCCCTATTGACTCTGTTTAGTATTAGGAGGGGTCTGAGTGTTGGTTATTTTATGGAAAGGCTAAACATAGACTTGGACTAATGCATTTTTAATCTGAAAATATTGGAAACCCACTTAAAATTTTAATCTGTCACTGGCACAATTTTGGTGTGTACATTTAGAGGTGAGTTTCTATTATTTTAATGCTCATCAAATTTTCTTATTGATAATTGAGAATTCAGTGAATTTAGGATGGATAAAATAGATAAGTATTTTATTTCCCTATGTTTCGCAGGAAATTTGAGAATGTGTTTGCCCTTAAAATGAGACGTGGGTATACAAAAAAAAAAAAAATGAGTTTCTGTCCCTTTTAGAATTGTTTACTTGAAACTATTCTTTTTCATAATGGTGGTAATGGTGTGAATGCCAGTCATTTTTCACAAATCCAATGCCGCCGGTTGACGTGTCATGGCGAATCAAAGACTTTGCACTCTGGAAAGGGTTTTGTTCTCATTTTTGCTAGGAAATGAGAGCTGTGGAATACACAAATTGGAGATTCTGCCTAAAATTGTAAAAGACACTAAATACTATGACCTTGATTCAAGAGGAAAACTCGAGGCAGCAAGAGAGGTGGAAGCGCTGCAGCTTTGAGAGCAGCATGCTTGGGGTGTTATTTGCTGTGGTTCTGGGACACGTGGCTCTGGCTGAGATGACAGCTACCTTTCCGCTCCGCTGAACAACCCCACACTGAGATAGCAACACGGTGACTCTTGGCTCTTTGGGGGCCATTTTGACTAGTCATGTTCTTCATCCTACCTGCAGAGGTCTCAAAAGTAAACCAGGTTCATCAAGGTCCAGTACTTCTCCGAGGTCATTTCCCGAGTCATTGTCAGAGGCTGGAGCAGAGCCAGTTTCAGACTGCAGAGCCAGAGAGATATGCCTCCTCAAAACAGTGACTTCAAGAGTTATGTAGAGAAAGCAGAAATCATTTAGGACCATTATCTAGAGATAAATATCATAAAATCCTGGCAATCACTTTCCTATGACGTACTTTGTGGTGAAACACTTCATTTAAATATGATATTTTCATGGTTTATTTTTAACTAAGAAAAAAACTCCCAAACTTTTACCTTGTTCTATATTTTTCATTTCTGTTCCTGTTATCATAATCTTGGATCTAGTACTCTCATTTCAAGCTAGATTTTTGTAATAGTTTAGCCATTGAAGCATCAGAACCAACTTCCCTCGCTTCTTCAAACACATTATTTTTTTGTTGTTGTTCTTAAAGTGACCTTCTTACAAGTTGGTCCTACGTCTAAAGCACCTTGGCCGTCTAAACTTGACTATCTGTTTCTCCCAGCCTGACATTCAAAGAACCTTGTAAAACAATGTCAACCTAGATTTAAAACTTTGTTGCAAGTGCTGGCCAGTGCTCTGTTTAAATGGTTTTGGTTTCTTGATTCTCACAGTTCCATTGGCGCTGTGGGCTGGAAGATCTATTCCTCACTCCTCAGTCATCGCTGTTCATTAAAAGCCACTCCATCCTTTAAGCATTTCTAAATATAAAACCCCCAGCGACACCTTCCTTCACCCCTAATGTAATTTTTATTGCTCTTGCTTTTTTGTTTTTTCTTAGTGATTTATATTACGCTGTGCCAGTGGTCACATGGTGGCTCATACAGTGCTTTGTGCGTTTACTTCATCCCTCCTTCTCAGCCAAAATATTTTCCAAGTAAGCCCCATGGTTTATTCTTCTCACCAGCTTAATGTGGCCCACCACACACAATTCCATGTTAGCCTCAATAAACACACATGATTGACATGCTTTATATTATCTTGGTAGCATGGTCCTCAGGTTTATGACACTGTGAGGGAGATGCTAACTCAAGAATGTGCAAACCCATCATCCCCACTCCTCAAAGTGGCTGCTTCCTTGGTTTAAAGCCACACGTGGATGAGACACACTGAAACACTTCATCCTCAGTGTTTTTAGTATCTTTTCCAGACTTCCGTGAATTTCTACTTAGAGTCCATTTTAATTTTCATGCAAACCTGAGCCCTCTCATGCTCCTCACCTGATACCTCCTGGTGGGACGTTCTTCGCGACCCAATGATGAAGGCTTGTCCCATGCCTGTGTATGACTCCCAGCTCTTGGTTTTTTGTCATCCTTGTACCACATCTGAACGTTAGGCTTCTGGTCTCTTGCTCTCTTTTCTATTTTGATTTTTTTGTGGACTTAGTCCTCAATTATTTTTGTTCTATATTAGCGAGGGATATGAGGCTTCAAAGAGACCATTTCTGTTTTGTGCTTAAAATACTTGGCAGTTTCAGAGGATAGAATATCCTTTGGGTTTATAGTCATGAAGTCAAGGACATTTTTAGATTGCTTCTTATATACCAGACACTTGTGCTGAATGCCGAAGGTAAAACTGTTTTAATATCTGGGCTCTTCCCAGAAGGAAGCATCAAGGTTGGAGCTGACCCTGTTTTTCTTTGTGCCTTGTATCCTGCAAGCATCGGGTCGCTTGTTTGTGTGCCTTACTTCACCTAGTCACCTCTGTAAGGATGGGTGTTTGTCTTACTCATTGTTTAATTGAAAACAGGGCCTAGTATAGAATAAGTCTTCAATAAATGTTTATTCAATAATAGTTTGCCACACAAAAGCCCCAGAGTGAGAAGGAGCCTGTTGTATCAAGAGGCAGAGGGCAGACCAATGGAGCATGTGACTCAAGTTGAGACCAAAAGGAGTAGGCTTAGATCACACAACATGAGGCTTGTCAGCTTCAGCGTTTGTGCCGGTTTGAACAATCCTGTTGGCAGGTGGATCTTCCGTGTACTGACAACCATTTGTCAGTACGTCTGGGCTCTGTCCAGGGTGGCCAGTTGTACCTCTGTTCCCAAGATCTTGGTATTCAAAAATATCTCCAGACACTGCTAGAAGTTGGCCAGAGTGTGGAGTGGCCCATAGTTATAAAAAAATAAATGCCCATGCATATCCTTACAGATAGTTTTATACTGTTTAGTTTTCATTATTATTGTATTATAAGTGAAAACTGGAAGCCACTGAAAGATTTGGATCAGGGAAGTGTCACCTATTGATTACGATGTTTAAAGATTAGCCTGCGAAGACAGTCAGTTGTGAAGGGACAGGAGTAACAGCCTGTGGTGATGGCAGCCTGAAGGGCTGAAGGGTGCTGGTCCATGCGAAGGAAAGGGGGAGTTTGAGCTGAGACTGGAAGGAAGAGGCTGGACTTTAACTTATGATAAGTGATAGAATGCAGGTTTGAAGAATTGCATTTGAAACTCTCACGCTTGCAGCAGTGAGGATGGATGGGAGAACTGGGTGAAATGAGGCTGCTGTACACTCAAGAGATTCTAAAAAAGCCAGTAGCAATGTGGAGGGGGGTAAAAAGTGGATAAGTTTTAGGCTATTTTTGAATATTTCTCTTTCTTATTCTTCTGACAGTTTTTAGATAAAGGGTGCCAGTATTTGCACATTATTTTATTTCCACTCAAACTGAGCCATTCAGATGCTTCTAGCTAAGGCAAGCCTTTGGAAGAGGCTTGTTTTCATGCATATCTGAGCTGGTTTGTAGAAATGGCTTCTCTAAGGCAAATGTTGGCATCGAAAGAGTTTATAGCAGTAGCTTGGGGCAAAGCTTTTACCATCTTTTCAACATTGTGTCTCTAGACTTCATTGTATTGTAGGACATTGACCTAGACATAGTAAGCCTTGAATGTTAGCAAGCCTTGCATGTTAACATTTGACGACATAAATGTATTGGGCTTTTTTCATCTCTGGACTCAGTGTCTTTAAACAACCAGGAATGATGAAAGCCAGTTTCAGTCTTCAATAAGTAAGACTGAGCCAAGGAGAAGAGTGGAACCTATGCCAGGTAGATGTTAACGTGAGTGACACAAAAGGCATTAATGAGGGAAACACATTGAGGGATTCTCAGGTGGCTGAATGTGGTGTTGGTGCAGAATTGGGGGGGTGTCAGGAAAGTTAGGGCTGTAGACATTAGTCCTCCTACCAAAGGCCAGATCCCAATGCTACGATGTGGCAGCATCGTAGACATAAACACTGGTAGGAGAGGGCAGTTCTCAATGGACAGTTGGAATCCAGCCACCTCTGTCTTCATTGCTATAATCTCTTAAACGAACTGTGGTGTCTGCCTCTTCACTGGTCCTGCTGTCCTCGACCCTCTTCAATTTGTTCATCACACAGTAGCCACTGTGCTTAGAACAGAGCAATCATATCACTCCCCTACAGAAAGCCCTCCAGTGGTATCCCATCTTATGCCTGATGCAAACCCAAGTTATTCCAGTTCCTCTCAGGACTTACTACCAAGTAAGAAGCTTTTAAAATGGATGTTGTTCATTATTGCCTCGCACAGTAGGGGAAATTCCGTGAGAGGAGGATTTTTTGTTTGTTTCCTCACAGATGTGTCAGCAGCAGCTAGAATCATGCCTGGTACTAAGTTGCCAGGCAATTATTTGTTGAGAAAATGAATGATTGTGACCTCAACTATATCATGATACTTACTACTTTGGTTATTATAGAATAAATTTATGTCATCCCACCCCATATTTTGCCTTCTCTTCTTCTGACTTATTCCACTTTCAAATCATAGCCTAAAGCAGGCTGATTCTCTATATGTATCTGAACATTTGTCTCATGAGTGGAGGTCTGCTCGCAGTCAAACCCGGCCTGATGGGAACATGCCTTGGCTTCTGTGCCCGCCCTCCTGCCTGCTATGCATTCTCTGAGAATATGGGCCTTGTGTGCAGGCCATGGGTGCAAGCTTGGCGCTTCTCTTAGAGGAGAGCAGCGTTCTGACAAAGTGTAACAGGATCCGAATGGTAACACTCCCTGGGTTGGTGGTGTAAATCACATCCCCATCTCTGAGGGCAGCCTCTCTATTCTCTTGGATCAGCCATAGTCTGGCTCTTGGTACTGCTCCTCTCATGCTGTGAGAATGGGCAGCTCCAGTTTCCTGGGCTCCACAGGGGTATGAGCCTTTGGTTTCTTCATAAATAGAACAGAGAAATATAACCACAGAAAAACACGGGAGACATGATCAACAGTATTTATTTAGTGAGTAAAGGAGCTAGAACTGTTGTCCCATTGTCTGCTCGTCCAGTCAGTAAATGTTTTTTGTGACCACAGGGTGGTGTTTGAAATCAGTCTGTTTTGATTAAGGGAGTATTCTTTGCTTTAATGATGGTGGCTAGTAAGTGGTTAAGCAAGTATACTCATAGGCTATGAGAAGTGAGAGATGATTACCTACATGCCATCGCAGGACTGTTTAGGGGATCTTTACATACACTTAGTAGCATCATAAGTAAAACACAGTCACACAGAGAAGACGGTCTGTTGCTTTTCAGGCACTGGTCATAATACTTTTAACAGCCACTACCACTCTGACCACTGCCTCCCTCAATGAGCACATACCACGTAACAGCTCCACCTTGTAAGTGGTTACAAGGTCCTTTGTTGTGGTTACTTCATTGAATGGTCCCAGTAACTCTCCAAATAAGGCCCCTACCTTCTTTTTTTTTTTTAGTGGCGGGTGTTGCCAAATTGGACGCAGAAAGGGTTAATTTATAATGAGTAGAAACTAAGAGAAGTGGACATATATCTAAATTAATTATTCAAAATTATAATAGCATATTATCTGCACAGGTGCCGGAGGAGATGGCTTTGTGTTTAACACTGGAGGAATATTATGAGGAAGGGAAATCCCTCCTCCAAGGGCTTCCTTATAAGAGATATTTTTATCAAGCAGAACAAGCTTCTTTTGTTAATCATAATGCCAGTGTCTAAAGACAGCTAGAGGATAATTATGGGTGCTCTGTGTCCCCACGCTGTGACTTCTTTCTGCAGAAGGGAGCTGGCTATCACCTGGACCTATTTTGGGTGGCCATCCTCATGGTGGTGTGCTCCTTCATGGCTCTCCCCTGGTATGTGGCTGCTACTGTCATCTCCATTGCTCACATCGACAGTCTGAAGATGGAGACAGAGACGTCTGCACCTGGAGAGCAACCAAAGTTTCTGGGAGTGAGGTGCGTTGTCACAGGATGATGGCCCTAGAGAGCCCACATGTACACACATCTTTGTCTCAGTCATATGGAGGTGAACGTAATCTGGGGATGGGATAGCTGGGATAGTTACTTTATTACTAAATTATCTTTTCCAGAAAGGACTTTTTTGTTTGTTTGTTTGGTTTTGGTTTTTAGAGACAGGGTTTCTCTGTGTAACCCTGGCTGTTCTGGTACTTGCTGTGTAAACCAGTCTGTCCTCAAACTCAGAGATCTGCCTACCTCTGCCTCCCAAGTACTAGGATTAAAGGTGTATGCCACTACCACCCAGCCAGAAAGGATGTTTTAATAAAAAAGTATAACTAGTAGCTTTCAATTTACTTTTTTTTAACTTTTTTAAAGATTTATTTATTATGTATACAGTATTCTTCCTGCATGCCAGAAGATCAGATCTCATTATAGATGGTTGTCAGCCACCATGTGGTTGCTGGGAATTGAACTCAGGACCTCTGGAAGAGCAGCCAGTGCTCCTAACCTCTGAGCTGTCTCTCCAGCCCTTAGTTTACTTCTGATAGTAAACTAAGTATATGTAAGTTTTCTTGATTTCTGTAGTATTAAGTGATGCAACATAAAAACGTCAGTGATTTATTTTCTTCAATATACAGCTGAGTCCTGTAGAAGTGCTGTGCCTCGGTCATGTGTAGAACTCTGAGCCCTTAAGTCTGCCATGATTTCTAGCATTCTATGAAGCAGTTAGGAATTCTCATTTTCCAACTCCTTTCTGTCCCCATAAGAACTTGAGGAACTATAACCTTCAAATATTAAATTAGAGGAGTTGTGAAGGTGAGGGGTAGAAGAACTTTGTACACTATTGAGTATTTTGTTTTGTTTTTTGTTTTTTGTCATAGCAAGCTTTGCTCACTAGAGCTACAGTGCACAGCTCACACAAGAGGGCCAGCATTTCCCACGCCTCAACAGTGGGTGATTCTTTCTTGGGGGTGTGGAGGGGGTGTTGGACGTGTATCATATTTGTTAAAAAGTACTTCTGTTGTTGCAGATTTGGAAATTAGACTGTTGAGATTTATTGCACTCATGAAATTTCCCTGAGCTGTTTGTTAATTAGAATGTGGGACAATGTAATATCTGTCTCCCATGAAAGAAGGTATAATTACACAACAGCACAAGTTGTTTGAAAAATAAGGGCTTCAAAGAAGCTAGTAATTGATGGACCAAGAGCAAGTGATTTTTCTTTCTTGGTTCTGGAAGGAGCAAAAGCTTTAGAAGAATCACCTTTTTTCTTCCTGAGTTCAATGGTTTTAAGATTTTTTTTAAGTTACCACTTAGGTTGGATTCATATGATATTTTTGAGATCTCAAGTACCTTCTCCCAAAATCTTTGATGCTTTCACCCAATGCTGATTTGGTCTTTCTCAGAAGGTCTGTGAAAACTGGAGGTAGATTGGTGACCTTTGATGTTGTTTCAGGGAACAAAGAGTCACTGGAACTCTTGTGTTTATTCTGACGGGCCTGTCAGTCTTCATGGCTCCCATCTTGAAGGTAAGTATGTAAAACATTCACCTCTCCCCCTTCCTTGGAACACTGACTGATAGCTGGACACATGAATGTGAAATGCTTGCAAGATTTCATAGCGCATGGAAGCAGGGGCCAATTAGATCAAGGACTTCAAAAATATCTGCCTTGATTTTCCCTCTACCCCTGCCTTCCTTCCTTTACCGTTATTTTTCTGGTTTCTTGTTGGAACCATCTGATATCACCAATACTGAAACCTCCTCTGACTTACAGAAGGGCAGTGTCACACATGCCCATCTGACTCGTCTTCCTCCCTGCCCCATACAGGCTTTTTATTACCTTTGTTTTCTATCCATCCGATCCACCTGCTTGTCCCTAAGGCGTCCCGCCCCTTCCCACACCCCCACAGAACTCTAGTGATTCACATGATCACTGTGAATTTCTTTCCACTATTTTTAATTATAACCACATTTCTGTTTTTCCTTGAATCAAAAGGCCTGTTAGTGCTGAAAGGGACAGGAGAATAAAATGACTGATTGATAATTGGAAAACTTTAGAAATGAACTTTTGAAGAATCATTGCATGGTAGAATATTTAGGAAGGTTGGAAATCAACAACGTATCGGTTGGTTGATACGGTGGGTTGGCATCTGTGTGGACAGAGCAACATACATACAATGGCCCCTTTAGGAATAAGAACTAAAGAATGAAGTTAACGTTTTTTTGCTCATGAAGCTTCCTGTTTCGTGATACAAGCTAGCTTCTCTCTCTTTTTTTTCTATTATAAAAACATCCCTAACCAGTTATCAGTAATTTGCATCTTATACTTTGTGCTACTGTGTAAAGCACAAACTTCACCCAGACCTAACAACTGTGAGTAACCACTGTTAACAATAGCTTACCACTATTCCAACTGAAAAATTTTATTTTTAAAGTTTAATTTTTAAGACTTTTGGATACCTATTTGGTTGTACAGGTAATGGCGTCATAGTACATAATTCTAAAAAATTCAAGTGTGACAGTGAGCAGCAAAAGCTTACCTTCTCTCAAACTAGCAAGTTTCTACCAGTGGCCAGTCAATGAGTCTTAGAGGAAGGACCTACAACATCCGAATCTGAAGACCAACTTTGCCTTTCAAGTACTAAACTCATGCATACATTTGGTATGAAATAATTGGTAGATAGTTAAAATACTTGGTTATCCACCATTAACCCTTGGTTTCCATAGCTTCAGTTTTCTGGTTAACTTATGAACCATATCAGGTGTATATCAGGTGACCCACAGAAGAACTGTGGTTAAAAACGGTGTCAGAGAAATTATTTCTGGCCTGTGTCCTGTAGGGACAGAGGAAAAACCACGGTCAGTTCTATAAATGCAAGGAGGTGGCTTTAAAGGCTTAGTGCAGTGGCTCTCAACCTGTGAGTTATGGCCTCTTTGGAGTTGAACCGTTCTTTCATAGGGGTCACTTAAGACAACCGGAAAACACAGATATTTACATTATGATTCATAATAATAGCAAACTTACAGTTATAAAGTAGTAATGAAATAATTTTATGGTTGGAGTCACCACATGAGGAACTGTATTAAAGGGTCGAAGCACTAGGAAGGTTGAGGACCCCTGGGTTAATGAAGCCTTGTACCTTCTGCTAAGGGCCTTAGCTGTTTCTGTCCCCCTGGCAGGTCCTAGCATAAGAGGCTGGCTGAAATGCTTAGTGACACGTTGACTTCACACAGTGAGGTCACGTTTGGAGAGGTCACTGTGGGCAGTTAAGTCCCTGTACTGTGGGAAGCACCAATTTCCTGCAAGTGGGCTCATGCAGTACACCGCTCCAGTGCAGCCTTGCTTTGATGGGATCGCCTACAAAAACGTTTCTTGGGAGGGATGGGCAGGCAGAAATCCTTTCAGCTTTCAAATCTGCCCACCATCACCCAACCCTCCATTTTGTCTTGTATATGATTTGTTTTCATTAAAACAGTATAAAATCCTGCTTCAGAAAAGGCAGTTGTATTTAAAACTTTCATGATTGTGTTGCAGAAAACTTGGCTTTAGTCTTGGGGATCCCGCCTGCAGGCAGGTATGGTTCTGAAAGGGAACACAAAATAAACACTGTTTAAATTTTTATCTTTAGAAAGATTGATGAGACTCATAGCTGGTAACAGGACTCCCTGACTATCCCTTACTCTGTACCCAAGTACAGCTGCCGAGAAGTTGAAGCTGAACGTCTTGGGTTTTTGCAGTGAACCTTTTTACCCATACATAGATGATCACCTTAGTATGTACAGGAAGAGGTCAGAACTCATTAAGACGAGCAGGGAATACTAGGGAGCCATGAGCCGAACTCGTACCCGCCTTTGGATGTTTCTATCGGGCAGTGTTGATTCATCTGAAGAGTCTTTGTCTCCATTAGTGAAAAAGTAATTCAGCACACATTTCCTTCTGTAGTCTTGGCTGTCCTGGAGCTCACTCTGTAGATTGGGCTGGCCTCGAACTCAGAGATCCTCCTGCCTCTGCTTCCTGAGTGCTGAGATTAAAGGTGCACACCACCATCGCTCAGCTTCAGCATGCATCTTTAAGCCAGGATTTTCTCAGATGTTGGAAATGAAATTGTTTTGCCAGTTTAGCTCACGATGGGCTGTGTAACACCTGATGTCAAAGCAGCAGGGTTGAAGCAGCCTTTATTTGGCAGCCTCTACTCCTCGCTTGAGTAAGTTAGCTCTTCCTTGCTGCAAGAATTACATCTCCCGATAAGGATGGCTGTTTCAGGTCACGTGCCCTCCTCACCACTGCTTAGCAAGTTATGTGCTTGTATCAGCGATGCCTCGTTAGCGTCACAAAGTCAATACAGGAAGAAGCAGAGGTTAAGGGTACAGTTTAACTGAAATGTAAGCCATGGCTAAGGAAAAGGTACAATTAATAATTAACCTCGAAATGCGTGCAGAAAGTGGTGCCACAAGTTGTCCTCTCATATGACAGACAGCCTTTTTTTTTTTCCTTTTTAAAGCAACAGGTGATAACTTCAGAGAATAGTTTGACTTAAGATTGTGCCTTGGAAAGTTAGATCAGATGTACAGGAAATAGAGTTATAAGTGAGCTTTTAAAAACTGAAATGGTTCAACACCTTCCCAACCCAAACTCCTTTTTCCCCTTATAAGTTTAATGGTCTGCGATGAGATGAGCAGTTTTCTTGCATGCGTGAAGCCAGATAGGTGGTTGCCTACTTGTGCAAGGGGTACTTTGAACGTGAAGTTTATGGCCTCCGTTTTGATCTCTGTGCCGAAATCCGTCTTTCATGTGGAGGAATGTAAGGAATTACAGTGTAGCAGCTTGAAGTTCATGAGGATACCCCTTGACCCTGGCCAGCTACAGTCACAGATGCCTCAAAGCGCCGAATCACGTCATTGCTTAGTACAGAACTGCTGGGAAGTAAGAATAACTGGCTTCCCAGGCTGGCGACATGGCTTCCGCCGGGACTGCTAGTGTTCTGTAAGTACTGATCACAGAGCAGCAAAGAGATGAAAGGCGGTTCCCTGAGCTGTCTTTCCCTGTTTTCCTGGCAAGACTAAAGAAACAGAGATCAAGTAAAGTTCACGGCTGCTTCTGCTGCCTTTGCACGGGTAAGTTTATCTTTAACACGAGGCGTGGCCAAAAGTTATCTTTAAGATTTGTTAGTGCACTAAAGTGTAGAAGACGGCCTTTAATTTGGACTAGGCAGATACTTGGTCTCCACTTGCAGTCCTGTGCCATGGAAGCAAGCAGGGCAGCTGTGGTGGAGAGGACCATGGTATGACCGAAGCTACTGTCTGTTGAACTTGGCCTCAGATTAAGAAGTCATCACTGATTTAAAAAATTTAGTCTTCCATCAGTGCTTTGAAGAACTATATGAATAATATCTCTACTTTAACTGTAGGGAAATACTAATTACTCACTAGACTTCAAAATGTATAGGTGGTATAGACAAGATTTGAACTCTGGAAGTTCTGGCACAGAAGTAGTCCTGTAACCTCGTATAATGTGTGCTTTTCAAAATAAAACGTGGTAATTAGCCTTCAAAGAATCTCTGCTTTTTTTCCCCCATAAGATTATCTTTCCCAGATTCTTTGATCTCATTTGGAATCCTTCTTATGTGGAGAAAGTTATGTAACTTTCATAAACTCCTCTTCAGACCTCATTCCAGGCTGAGTACTGGAGGTTCTCTATCCGTATAGATTTTTAAGACTTAAGAGACTTAGGGCATTATGATAATAACGTATTGCCAAGGCAGGTTAGCTGAAAGAGCAATATAGTAGAAATTAAATAGAGCAGGTCTTCAAGTCATACCTTCCAGCCAACCCTCCCTGTACCCTAGCCACCCTCCCACCCACCCTCCCCTCATCAAGGAGGAAACAGGAAGACCTGTGGTTGGAAACTATAGGCAGCTTCCTCAACTTGTCAGTCAACGTCTTCAGGATAAGGATGGCATAAACTCTGCGTTTATCATTTGTTAGTTGTCATATTAATTAACTAATTGGCAAGATGATTTCTGTTATGTAGTATTGATGAAATTATTAAGGCCACTCCATGTAGTTAAAAGGAGATTTATTTAATGGCGTAACTTACAAATTAAGGGATAGGTAGGTCGCGGGGTCTGGGGAAGGTGTATCGCAGTCCAGCGGTGTTCTCTGGAGCTCTGCTTGGCCCACCTCCACCGTCCAGGGTCCTGGAACCGAGTGAGAGTGCAGCCCATCCAGATCTCAGGTCTCCAGGTACCTCCGTTGGCCCCGCCTTATAGGCGTGACAGTTGCCAAAGTCTCAATGGGAGTTGGAACTTCCAGATCAAAGCTGGAATGGCTACCCACTACAATGTAGTCTATCATAGGTATTTCCTATGTAGGGATGCTCAGAGTTAAGAAAAACAAACAAGTGTCTCAGTATTCTTCAGTTGGTAGCTAGAATCCAAACCCAGGTCTGTTCAACTTCTGTTACCCATGTCTTAATCAAGACCTTACTCTTAGTTTTAGACAACAAACACACATGCATACACGTATGCACAAGCATACATGCAGGCAGGCTGAACATGAAACCATCCAGAGATCTCAGTTTTCCCTTTTAATCAAATATCCTTTCACATTTTTCCTTCTGGGAATGTTCTGCTACTATTGGCAAAGCACCAGGAGATTACAAGGGGAAATATAGAGACCCATTTACCAGAATTAGAAAATTTGATGACATAATGTTAAGATGTTAAATTTTATTTTGATTTCATCTCGATTTTATTATTCTATATGATTATAGGATTAGTCTTTTAATTTTTCATTTTTAGTGTTTATTGAATGTAACGCTTCTTCGTAATTATCCTTTTTTGCTTCCTGGATATTATTGATGATATAATGGTTTACACAGGTTACTATTTAGCAATCTTGATGTGCCTCTGAAATGGGTATTTTTAATTTCTCCTGCCTTACTTTGTAAAAATGATTGCCCACAATTACTATATTATGCCACTTTAATTTAAAATTAATTTTTGATAGAATTCAATATTTATAGATATTGTCACACACTAGCCTAGGCTGGCCTTGAACTCATATACTCATGGCACTCCTCCGGCCTCAGCCTCTTAAATGCTAAGACAACAAGCATGAGGTACCATACCCTGGGTAGCTCTCACTTTTAAAAGCATTTTTTTCCTTCTTTTGAGAACTTTCTGTTTTGGTGAATGATTCTAATATGGTTAATTTTTAAACATTGACCTTCTGATATGATTCATGAACTAAATTCTATAAAAGATACCCTCCACCCCCAACAATTCTGTCAGGTTTCATTTGAAGTTCCATTATGAGATTTATATTGAAACATACTATTGTGACAAAAATGAAAATTTCATAAGCATTTGTATCATATTGAATCTAACAAAAAATCAATTTTACAGCTTTTCTTATGTGTACTATTTTCTCCCAATTGAATGTATGTATGTATGTATGTATGTGTGTATATATATATTTGAATATATGTATATTTAAAAAATTGGATGTATACACACATATATACATAAATATACATATACATATATATATATAAAACATATTCATATCCCAAATTTCTTTCTTGCCTGCATCCATCCATGCCATTCTGTGTTGTAGATGGGGTGAAATTCGTTAACATAAATTCAGAGAATGAATCTAAGGCCCAACACACAATGTTTCTTTGCTATGTAGAAGCACATTTGAAAGAAAAATGTTTCATTAAGACCAAGTAAGGATAGACCTTTTGTGACACTTTCCAAGCTGGTGAAATGCTTTACTCAGATTAAAAAAAAAATGACCACTGGGGGTGCTGGAGAGATGGCTCAGCTGTTCCAAGCAGTGACTGCTCTTCCAGAGGACCTAGGTTCAAATCCCAGCACCCACAGGGCAGCTCACAACTGTCTGTAACTCTAGTTCCAGGGGATTCAGCACCCTCACACCGACACACATGCAGACAAAACATGAATGCACATGGAATAAAAATACATTTAAAAAAAAGTAACTACTAAAGAAACACAAGTAGTTTCCCTTGAATTAACTGTTCTTTCCTCCATCTACTTCTCCTTCCTTATTTGGAGCATTAGGAATGTAACAGTAAATGAAAAGAAATCATCACCTATTGAGGGGAAATAGATGCTTTAAAAATGAGTCATAGAATTAAGTTAGATCGTTTACTAGTCTTATTTATTTCTTTTTGGAAAATGTCCATAAAGAGTTGTAAGTAGCTTGAGCACTCATATGCTAAAAGAAACCGAGGCTTGTGCTTGAGCACAGGTGACTTGAGTGGGCTGTGTCTACCGCTCTGTGGTCACTGCTGGGTACTGCAGCATGCTGGCTGACTGCCAGCGTGGCCCTCCTGCCCACTTTATCCTTCAATTCCTTTTCTCTTTTATTCTTTTCTGAGCTCAAGATTGAAATCAGTTCTGGTAAAATTGCTAACCCATTTCAGAGAAAACATGGGTAGTTTTTAGAAGTGTGTACTTCCTCCACTGAAGTTTGGCCATTCCTGGGACTAACCAGTAACAACTGGAGGCAGTTGCAGTCCATTTTAGGATTCACTAGTTCTCTAATGGTGGCCAGAGGGTCCGAGGCAGAACAGCATCGGGGAATTGCAATAAGATGGTTTTAGAAATGGTGCTTCATTTCATGCATGCAGTAGTTTTAAAATTCTACCCTTAAAGGAATACTCTGTCTTCGGTTACAGTGGCCTCCCAGATGTGGATTTGCTGGCTGACCTTAATTACCTTTCCGTTTTAGTATTTGAGCTTTGAAAAGTCCTTCAGTTACTTGAACTTCTTTTCAAACCCAAGGTTGATGCCTCTTGTCATCCAGACAGAAGATTTCTCAGAATTAGAATACTGTGCTTGATTCTCAAATGTGATAGGCTTGCATTTCACAGGTCTAGGGGAAAAGAACATGCACACATTGGATTAGAGCTTCTCATTGTGAAAACACTTCCTGTTATTGTGAAAGATGTTTTACTAAGTAACGCACAAAAATATTAATTGAGTTTTAAAAGATGTGCATTAATCCATATGGGTAATTAATTGCTTCCAGGTGCTCATGCTCCTTTCAAACCATATTCTCATTAGTGTGTAACTTAATAGTCCTGAGGAGAAAAGGAACAGCCATATGATGTTTATTTTACTGAAAGAGGTATTTTCACACAAGCTGATACATCTTTTGGCAAAAATTAGTAAGGAGAAAATCAACAGACTGTTACAAAAGATCTTGGTTCCAGAGCGAGGCAATTTGCCACCTCTGCCTGTACCTCCGTAGCCCACACAAACATCTGGGTTGCAGAGTCCAGTGCTTTTAAGAGCAAAGGGAAGCTGAAACAGTTTCTCATTAAAAAAGTATTGTTGAGGCCATGCATGCCCATTATTAAAAAAAAGAAGAAGATGATGAAATTAATTCGAAAGTTCCCTTCAGCTTCATTTAGTTCTAATACAGAGCTTAGAATTTTATCAGTTGATGAGTTCAGTGCCCTACCTAATTCGAGGTTGCTCTGTTGTTAGCCGCTGTGTTCAAGTTTCAGATTTAGCCCTCATTTAAATGATTCCTCTCCCTAACTGTCTTCACTGTTGTTTTGAACCTCTCTCCGTTGTTTTTCTTTCCAGTTTATCCCCATGCCTGTTCTGTATGGTGTGTTCCTGTATATGGGGGTGGCCTCGCTCAACGGTGTGCAGGTAAGCTTCCACAGCAGCCTGAGCAAGCTGTGCATTTCTCGAAGGAGGAGAGTCCAGTGATAGGTCTTTGATGAAGGCACTAATCATTAACCACTGACTCTTTAAAGTACGTTGATTTTCTGCTTCCTCAATCTTTTGCCTGATGTAATCAAGAAAACTAGCCGGTGTCGAGAAATGTTATCCTGAATGCCCATTACTGAAAGGGGATGCTTAATGTCACCTGGTGAGGAAATGGGCTCTGTGCTACTGTCCCCACCACTGCCGCCACCGCCGCCGCCACCATCACCACCTCTTCCTCTCCCTTCCCATCCTCCTCCTTGCCCCTCCTCCTCCTCCTCTTCCTTTTCTCGTATTCTTTCCTCATCTGTCTCTTCACCTTTTTCCCCCTCTTAAGACGGATATCCACCGTGTCCATCAGGGCGGTATTTGTGCACTTACCTTAACCCTTATAGGCAGTTCTGCATTGCATACTCAGTGGTCAAAAGTTTTGCAGCAATAAACAGTTAAAATTAGTGTGTATTAGGTATTGCTTTCGTCAAAAATTTCAACTGTTCACAGCTTCAGTTGAAGTGACCACCACGGCCAATGCCCCCACTTCTGCCCCTGGTCCACTTTTTAAAAAACTTGCTAGGGAAAACTTTGTGAGAGGCTTTGTCTCTCGATGGAGGTTTAATTTAATTGGCACCAGGAAACTGGAAGTTCCGCCACTTTCTGGCACCCTGTTAATTGTAGCCTTATTTAGCACTCTGTAATGTTTTAATGGGAAAAGACTGCGTGTTCTGTGAACATCATAAGACTTCATTTGAACTCCTTCAAAACAGCCCTTGCTTTCATTTATTGCATTTATATTAACTTGGTTCTAAAGTCAGATAGATCTGGGCAAATGGCCAGACCCCCCAAAAGCAAAGCTACTTTACTATTCCTGGTTTTGATCCAGTAGAAGAGTTCTTCCGCACTGGGATATTTGTTATGAAACACAAAGTAGTTCTTCATAGGCTGCACTAGGTGAATGGCAACATGAGTTTATTTGTGCCAATGAAGTGTTTAGGAAGTATAACTTTGTAAAATATTTTACTTTTTGTCTGCCATTATAAATGCTCTCTCCTCTCCAAGTGAGATAATATGAACGTTAGATGCCTAGAAACTAATGGTTATTCATTTTTGTTTGCCCTTAAGGATCTCGTCTAAATCAGAGATTTGTTTCAGAGTGTTCCAGGGGCTCTATCAATGGCTAGAACTGAGTACCTGTCTAGAAAGAGAAGGAAAGAGCCAACCATCTCATAACGATTGGTGGCAGGAATATTGTGGGAACAGCTAGTGAATGGTGTAACTCCTGATGTGTTACTATTGTCCCAAATGCCTTTTCACTGTTCCTTATTTTTCTCTTGATTCTTTCTCTTTTAGGCCCTTTTGATGAGATTGGTTTAGCAAAAAAAAAAAAAAAAAAATTGAAATCTAATCTTTATAGTTAAGAAAAGTTTTCTAAAGGCAGGAAGAAACCCCTGTTATGGAAGTGTCGATGACTTTTCCCTCTCCTTTCTGTGCAACACTATGTTATTTCTGAGCTCCTCTAATTAGTCAGTTCAGTAGACATCTATACAACCTCTGTAGCATGAATCTTAAAAGGTCTTATTAATAAAATCAAACCTGAAGCCAGGTGTTGGGGTGAACGCTGGAAGATCAGAGAGACAGAACAAGCCCCACAGCTTCCTCAGCTGATCTTGTTTCCTCAGACTGAAAGCCTCTGTCTGAGTCCTCATCCAAATTGATCTCAGCTGAACTGCTGCTCAAAACCCTAAAAGCTTAACTAGCCTCTAGCTCCTGATCCTCACGCTTTATATACCTTTCTGCTTCCTGCCACCACTTCCTGGGATTAAAGGCGTGTGTCACCATGCCTGGCTATTTCCAGTGTGGCTTTGAACTCACAGAGATCCAGATGGATCTCTGCTTTGGGAATGCTAGGATTAAAGGTGTGTGTGTGTGTGTGTGTGTGTGTGTGTGTGTGTGTGTGTGTGTGTCACCATTTTCTGGCCTCTATGTCTAGTGGCTGTTCTGTTCTCTGACCCCAGATAAGTTCATTAGCGTGCACAATATATTGGGGAACACAATACCACCACAAACCTCTCCCTCTGAAAGCCCCTGTGATGTGTTGCTAAGCATCATCTTGTCCGTCATCATCAGTGTCAACTCAGCACTTGATCTGTGAGGTGTACTTGGCACAGACATGCACAGCCATCCTTCCTGTCACTGGCAGTGACTGATACGTGGCAGTGCTAATCTCGCCTGGGCTCTCCTGTCTTGTTGTTGGTGTCTTGAAACTCACTGTAATGTGGATGGAGCTTTTTTCTGAATAGAAGTGGTAATACACTGGTGGATATGGATGTGTCCATCAAATTAGAACCTAGAAAAAGAAAGTGGCATTTAGTGGCATACTCTGTGCACGTCCCATTTTTAAGTTAGATACTTTAAAACGTCTCTGAGGTGCTTATAATGTGGGGTATCTTCTGATCTTCTTTCAGAGGAGACAACTGAGGCAGAAGCAGATGCATAAGTTAGATGTCTTCCTTCAGTATATCATTCCAAAATAGGTACAGAACCCTCTCTGTCGAGAAGCAGAGAGTAGAAATAGAAGGTAGAGGATGAAAGCTAGAATTTCTGTTTGCTTTGTGACTTTATCCTTTCTGCCCACGTTATCTTATATACCTTCTAACATCTCTGGAAAAAAAAAAAGATCAGCAAAACTTAGAAGGCTGGTAACATGATCTGAGTGTGCTAATGTAAGTCTCCTACACCCTAACCTGCACTTCATCCTTTGAGGAGGACATTGCTGGCCTGAAATACACAATGTACATCCCTCCTGGCTGGTGAAGCAGAGTGGAAATGACTCAGTTGGCTCTTCAAATAATGCATCGGATTTTCTTCCACCTTCCTCCCCAGTTCATGGACCGTCTCAAGCTGCTTCTGATGCCCCTGAAGCATCAGCCTGACTTCATCTACCTGCGCCACGTCCCCCTGCGCCGAGTCCATCTCTTCACCTTCCTGCAGGTGTTGTGCCTGGCTCTGCTCTGGATCCTCAAGTCAACAGTGGCTGCTATTATTTTTCCAGTCATGGTAGGTTTTCCTAATTGAAACTATCCCTGACTGTATGCCTATCACATAGTTACTCTGACATGGGAAATCCAGATCATTTTAAGTGTGTGGCTAGTCTTTCACTGTCTTTCTGGCTTTCATTTAGTCATGTTGACCAGTTGTAAGCTAAGCTTCCCATGGCAACAGCTGCTGGCATGCACCTTCGAATATGCCCTCCTGAGTTCAGATACTGGCTCAAGTTCCTGCTGGTCAGCAAACATTCTTGAGCCACCGTGAACTCATCAGTGGGAGGGTAGCATTGTTATTGTTCTAAGAATTGATAATGAATGCCAAGTGTATAACACAATGTCTGGCAAGCAGTAGACATCAGTGCACATGATTTTTAAGGTATTGTATAATAGAACCAACCTAAATAAGAATAAAGTACACTCCAGTCCCAATAGTAGAAGCATTTGTAGACTTGTGAGAAAAGGCAGGGCTCATTAGAAGAAGCAGAGTTTTTAGATTCATGTGGTTTTCATTATTTTAAGGATAAGGCTGGACTCTAGTCTTCCTGTGATAGTAATCAAGGTGAAGCAAGTAACTGCCCCCTCTGAATCAATAGGCAAAGAGGAAATGCAAGTTCTGTGTCTTGTCTCCTTACTGCATTTTATACTTTATTGTAATTCTACTTCTTGCAAGAAACTGCCCACATATACGTATGTTGTGTGACAAAATGTTTCCTGGGGAGATGCAACACACATGACTACTTACCCCAGACAGGGAGCCCACAACAGACCAAAGTACATATGGATACCACCTGAAAAAGGACACCCCAAGACCAAGTTCTTGCACAAAGGAGATTTGTTTGCCTCAGAGGGACAGAGGGCAGGGATAAGGGACAAAGATGGGAAATAGGGGATGAGGGAGAAGGGGAGAGGAACGTGGGAGAGGGGGCAAGGATATTTGTCCCTGAGGGGAGAACAAAGGACTGCTCTGGATAGAGAGGAGACAGACATGGCTCATAGGCAAATGGAAGTTTATAAAGGTAAAAAGGGAAACCCCATGTTAGGATGAGGTGTTTAATTTTAATTGGGCATGTTAATTAGGTGAGCCAAAGGGGGCTTTTGATTGCTAGATTTCAATACTTTGATAACTGGACCTTGATAGCCAGCCTCAGGAGGAGGAAGTAGCCAAATAAGGGAATGGACCTTTATTGGCTAGTTTTAGGAATGTAATCAAACAGTTTTTAGCAAGGCAGAGGGAATGGGAGAGAAGGGAAAGTCATGCCAGAGCTATGCTTGAGTGGGCTAGTGTCCCTTCATTACCACAGTCCAATTTGGTGAACCAGTGAGTTTTACTGGAGTTACAGGGATATGAGTAAGGGATTACTAACGGGGAATGGTAAAGACTCAAAAGACAGCTGCATCACCAAGGCCCACGCCAGCATGGGTGATAGATCACGAAGTTGGAGCACACTGCACAGCCTGCAGGAGGGAGGCCCAGCAGGTTGGAGAGTGTCCTTTTCAGATGCCTCAGTTGGTCTGAGGCACTTCCAGGCAGGTGGTCTGATCTCAGAGTTTTCACAGTTTGGTTTGTCTGAGAGTCTTCTTTGCAGCTTAGCTCTTTTGGCCTGTGAGAGACTCTCTGCTCTTGCTTACTCTGGCTGGGGAGAGCCTCGTGAATCTGGTCAGCTTCAGGAACTTCCTGAAGCTATTTTGAGTTGTTTACATTCCTGTTCAAGGATCTTCGTGCAGGATATAGTGTTTCAATCTTGGAGGAAAACATTTCTATACCATACACTTACCACATTTTGTTTTTAAAGTCATCCTACTCACAACATTATTATTTTGTTATGTACATATTTTCTGATTGTAATTATATTTCTTTTTATTCCCAGGGACATAGGAAAAATAGTTTAAAATATTACTGACATTTTTTCAGCAAGATCTTTTTTTTCATTGATGGTCCTTTACATCTTTATTTCCCCCCTTAAGCTGTATTAACTTACTATAAAACAAACTGAACATTAGAAATGACTCCCACTTACCTTGTAGGACTTTCTAAATACCTGTTAATTTGTTAAAAGCAGGAAAATTAAGCTATCCATAATAAATTTGAAATATATCCAGTAAATTATGTCTTTCTTATACTAAATATAAGGAAAACTTTACTTTTATAAAGTAGTATTTTTCCAGAGATTTCCTTAGGTTCATAAATGGTTTTGGAATGTCCATGGGGCAGATGTTACAGATCTCTCTTCAGGAGATGGATACCTCAAGTATAGAGTGTAGTGTGGATAAAGGCCCCTGCTTTTGGAACTTGGCTGTGTATGACTTTTGTTGTTGAGCAGCTGATGTTAGTGAACTTCCATAGTGGAAACCTGAGAGAGCAAGTCATGTAATGGAACTTGGTGTTTGTATGCAGAATAAAAAAATTAATAAAACACAGAGCAGTTCGTAGAACCGAAAGTACCAAGGTAAAAAATGTTGGCAGAAAAGGCCTCAAGAGATTAAATACAGAATATAAATCTTTTGTGGTCAAAAATGACTGAACTGATGTCTCGCCAATTAAAAGTACATCCTGCACTTACCACTGCCTATGATTCTGATGCCCTCTTCTGGCCTCCACTGGTACTTGCACACATGTGTACATATACAGACACATACATAAATAAAAATAAAATAAAAGGAAGCAGATACCTGTCCACTCTGCATTCTTTGTTTACTGGTATCATAACCTCAGACAGCATAGCATTTATAAACTTCAGTTTGCTCAGCTGTAAGATGAAAATAATATGTTTCGAGAGTTTGTAGTAAGAAATAAGTCAACTAGTATTTCCTAAGTGTTCAGCAAGGATTGGGAACATGGTAAGCATTTAGTTTATAATAGTGACTAGTTTTTAGAAACCTGTATAATTTTAAAATTTTCAATAATTAGGAATCACGTGCAAACTGTTTTTACTTTTAAGCTTTTAATTTTATTAAAAACTTAACATGGAAGGAAATGGTTTTGGAAAATAATTCCCTGTCATTCCAATTGATTTGAATATAATCATACATTCTCTGATTGACTGTAATCATACATCATTATGAACAAAACAAAATGGATTTTGACTGAGATTTTCATCAAACAGCTTTCCTAGGGAAGACTGTGGGTCACTGGGTAAGCAGTTCTGTCAGACCCTGGACCTATATGGATTTCTGCTGCTGCTGATGGACAGTATCATCAGCATCCTTATGATGTCATCTGACATAGCCTGTTTTGTTACTGTGTTTCCAGATCTTGGCACTTGTAGCTGTTAGAAAAGGTATGGACTACCTCTTCTCCCAGCATGACCTCAGCTTCCTTGATGACGTCATTCCAGAAAAGGACAAGAAAAAGAAAGAGGATGAGAAGAAAAAGAAAAAGAAGAAAGGAAGTTTGGATAGCGACAATGACGATGTAAGAGAAACTCCAAACTTCCCATGTCAAGCCAGTTAGAGGAACATTTTTTTTTTTGTGTGTTTGTGTTACATTGACCCTGTACTTAGACTCAAATATTTAGCGTTATTTCTCCATAACTCTTAAAAAAGATGCAAAGGTCTCTTTCCTGAATTATCCTCATCAGTGTCACAGTCCAGATGGTTCTCCTATAGTTAGGTGATTAACTTGAGAAATGAAAATATTCCTATTTATTCTTCTTTAGATCATGTCCCAGAAGTACATATGCTTGAGGTGGGGTGGGATGTCTATATTCAGGGCCCAGAGAAAATCTGGATTTTATTTTTCTTATACATGCATTCACTTGTGCACATGTGCGCGCGCGCGCGCGCACACACACACACACACACACACACACACACACACACAGAATATGAGAATTCAAACAAGTAGCCTTTTGAGAGGATTGTCAAAACGATGCTTTCTGTGTGGGCCATTTTGGGAAACTTTACTTAGTCATATTGGAAAATAATGGTCTCTCATTAAAATTCTGATTAAATATGATCATTCATCTCTGTGAACAAAACAAAGTGAGTTTTGAATGAGCCCTGTCAAGCAACTCTCCCTATGAAGACTGTGTACCACTCAGTGAGCAGTTCTGTCAGGTTCCGGATCTATGTGGATGTCTGCTCTTGTTGCTGGGACAGCGGCATCTTCAGCATCCTTATGATGTCATATGACTTGCTTGTGTCCCTGCAATCCTAAAGTAGGAAGAATATAGTTCATTTCTAATTAGTCAGTAACTTCAGCTGAGCATGCCTCATCTCCAGCTGCCATAACAGTTCCTTAAAGTACATGTTTTTGTTTGCATTTTATAGATCAGGAAATTTAGAATGATAAACGTTGACTTTTATATTTTTCAGAACCTAAAAAAAAATTAGCTTGAGGTATTACTGACAAATAAAAAATGTATACATTTAAAGTGTGCAAGGCAGTGCTTTGACGCGTATATTAAAGTCATTTCTCCAAGCGTGCACAGCTGGGCGTAACGGAGCCAGAGCTCCCACCCGAGCTTCTCTGTGTGTCTGTAGTTGATTGGGCTGTCTGGTTGTATTCGTCTTGTAGAACGTGAACATAGTACAGCGAAGGGAAGCAACAGACAGAATTGGATTTCAGATAAATTGATCCAATAAGAAAAGGCTAAATATACGAGACACCTTTAGCTACAGAGAAAGGGGCTCTGAGGGAGCTTACGTGGCTCTCACCATCTGTCTTCTGAGAGAGCAGGTGTATGGATTTTCTGTTTCCAGTGATGAGCAAAGGAAAAGCAAAGCGTGTGTTTAAACTGCAGCAGAGATTAACGTGCTGTATTAAAAAAGAACAATATACCTGAACATCGACTAGAAATCAAAGCTTAAAGTGAATTCTTGGAGCACTCAAGACAAAATCAAAAGGTTGGCTGAAGTATTAAGACGACTAATGCAGTATTTCATCTTGAATTTTTAAAATAGGCACCTCAGTTCATACTCACAAACACCAAACTTAAAATCATTACACATTACTAATGTGTAAACTAATATTATGGAATATTCTCTATTAGCTAAAATAATATACAACCTTTTGAGATTGTTTTAAATTCACTCCTCTCTCATGACAAAAGTTGAATCAAATGAGTTCCTTAAATTAATCCCAGAATTCTTAGAATTATTTTTCATAACTTGTACTCACACAATGCTCTTGTTTTGATATTATTTACCATGTTCTACTGCGTGTTGCACATTTTGGGGTATGTCTTGGGGGATGCTAATTTCTGTTCCTTCTTCTTTATCACATCCATATCAAGACAGCAGATGTGTGCATTTGTTTATACACAGTGAACATGCTTGGCAGTTTAGAGTCTATCAGGGCAGTAGGTTCTATATGTTGAGCCCGTTATTTGAAGACTATGCATTGGAAGACGATGTGGGGGTCTTTGGTTACATATGTCCAAACTGGGACTCCAGGGTCACAGTTTTTATATATATGGTGAATGTTGTGAAAATTATACCTTACCAACATTTTATTTGCTCACAGTCACTTCTGAGCCTGCCTGGTAGTCTGTAATTAAGTGTTGGTTTGCCCAGGTGTCTGTGTGTAATTGCTGTTATTTTGGGAAATATTTGAAAGGACACTTTGTTTATGGCATGGTCATGAAGGAAGGTACATGTGGCATCTTAATTAATTTAAATTTTTGTCAGTTAAACACATCATCTTAGTTCTCAAAAGTTACTATAACTCATTACCCCCATATGTTAATCACAAAGGAATTTTCATTATAAGCAATAGATTTTATCTCAAATTTTGTTTTAAGATAAAAGCCCCATGCCCCATTCTTTTTAGTTTCTGAAGTGGTGAGGACTAAATGCAGGGGCTCACAGTGCCAGAGAAACACTCTGCTTCTGAGATACACTGCCAGCCCTCTTCCTCTCCTCTTCTCTACTGACCCCTTCCAGTTAAAGATGGTTTCCTTGATATCTTCAGTTAATAGATAAATTGGGTCTCTTCAGTCCAATTATAGACTTGGAATCAATATGTCTACTTTCTTAATTAGTTTTTAAAGCTCTTTCATGCTGTATTATTATATGTTGAGCATATCCACTTTCATGTCCCTTTTCTTGCCCTTCTTCCTCTATTAGTTCCCTCTGTCTCCATAGACAGTTTGACCTTCATGATTTTATGTATCTGTATAAAATCTAAGAATGACAAATGAAAGAAAACTTATAATATTCACTTTTCTGAAACTGGCTTAATTCACTTACTATGATTATCTCCAATTGTATCTAACTTCTTTCAAAACACTATGAGTTCATTGTTCTTTATGGCCAAAAGAAAAATATGTATCTATGTGTGTGTGTGTGTGTGTGTGTGTGTGTGTGTGTGTGTATGTGCGTGTGTGTGTGCGCGCGTGCGTGCGTGCATGCGTGTGTGTGTGTGTGTGTGTGTGTGTGTGTGTGTGTGTTGGTGTGTGTGGGGGGTATGTATATGTGAGATGTTTTCTTTGTCCAGATTCTGCTGCTGGACACAGGTTAGTGCCATCATTTAGCTATTGCAGATAATGCTGACATGATCATGGAAACTTTAAAAAGTAAAGTAGTAATCCTATGGGAATTTATGATATTTTGGGTTAGGTGGCCTGTTTTTAAGAAGTCCTGCAACTAGCTACCGAATTTTTATCATTTTCTTGGTTATGATTCTCTACTTATCTGATCATTCTTTTGATTTTATTTTTCTTATTTTTTTGCTTATGTTTAAAAATATTTTTGGCACGAGCAAATTGGAATGAATTTTTAATCATAAAATAGTTTCTGAGCATATTAAAGTAAGGAAGGGAGACTAAGTCTACAGAGGGTTCCTTGCTAGTGGATGTTAAAAATGTCTTAAAATTGTTTTGGACAGGAATATGGGTCATGATTTTCCTGGAGAAAGAATCAGAGAACACTGTAAAACAAAACATGAAATTTAAGACCATATATAGTTTGGAAATTTTCCTGTGTTTAATCTGTCTTCACAGGGGACATTTTCTTTTACACGTACAACAACCAAGTTTGCCAATTGGGAATTCAGTTGTGGAACACTTTACAGTTGTGTGTGGTTTGCTGATTCAGAATCCAACTATGGAACACTTTACAGTGAGGCTGCAAGAATCTTCTTGCTGTGGTTCGAGCCTCAATGAACTCAGTCCCATTAACTCAGAAGAGGGGAAAGCAAATGATGGATAAAGATGTGTGGAGTACTTGAAAAGTTAGGCAGTCGAATGATACTTAAATGCTTTTTTCTTTAGTTGCTGTAAATGCTAAAACGGTAGGTTTGGGCAAACCCTGGGAATCAGGAAGACTGAGATAACAGAAAACATTCTAAAAAGTGTTGTACATTTCTTTCACAGTCTGACTGCCCATACTCAGAAAAGGTCCCCAGTATTAAAATTCCAATGGACATCATGGAACAGCAACCTTTCCTAAGTGATAACAAACCCTTGGACAGTGAGTAGAACTAACCTCTCGCATGCTTGCCTGACTATGACCCACGCTTGTCCTCTAGGACTGCCCTCCATCTGCCTCTCTCCTGCATTACCTTTATTCTTTCCCGTGTGCAGACTGAAGCAACTTACTTCTCAGAAAGCACCATGTCTTATTTATCGGTTGATGTTCCTTAAGCTTTACCCATCTTCCTTTTACCCGTAACCTCTTACATTTTTCTGTGATAGTCTTTGCTAAGTCATCGCCAGGGTTCTTTTGTTTTGTGTTTTGTTTTGTTTTCAATAGCTAAACCTGTAACCGTGTTTTTTAATTGATTTCTCCCCCACTGATATTTAGAACTGCAGCTTATATAGTATGACATCACTGTCTGGTACTGTTTGTCCTCCTTAGATCTCAGTCAATCCTCTAATTGGTGAAAAGGGAGAAATTATACCTGGGGTCTCCCTATGATCAATGAATTGTTAATATTTAGAATTTAGAATACTCTCAATTAAATTGGCAGTTGTGAAATATTAGCAAAACTCTCTAGATAGAACTGATTTATGTTTTCCTTCCTAATTCCTTCATTCCTCTTCTGTTATTTCATCTTCACAGTTTTAACTGCTCTCTCTAGTCTTTCTCCAGTAATAGGCTACAATGTAATAGCATGTGAATGCCATCTTTTTGCCTGTGATTGACAGTCCACTCTAGTAATGTCAGTGAACATATGAAGCTTTTCCAATAGCATAAAGCAATTGCCTCCCAAACACATCATTCTTTGCATTTTCATTGGAAGGAAATGTGTTCCTTTAGATCCAACTGCACTGCAGAGGATACTGACCTGGTATAAGAACAATAACAGAGACACTGATTTCTGGTGGATAATACCACCCACTGTCAGCAAGAGGTTAGGGTTACCAAGGGAATTTAAAATGAATAAGCATTGATCAAATAATGGCACATATAAAGTTATCAATTTCTCAGTAACAAATTACCCCAAAACTTAGCAGCTTAGATCACAAGCATGCATTTTCTCTCATGGTTCTTGACATTCAAAAATTCAAGAACTGTTGAGTTGATGATTCTGGTGCAGAGTCTCATGAGATTGCATATTCTGCTGTAAACTGGAGCTAAGACTCTAGGGACTTGGTTGGAGCTGAGGATCTGTTTCCAACCAACGGTCTTTGGCAGGAAATTTCAGTTCCTTGGCCTGTGGATGTTTCTATAGAATTACCGTGGCACAGTAGCCTGGCTGCACCCAGAGATAGCTGGAAATTCAAATAGAAGCTACAGTATTTTATAATAGAATCGGAGATTCAGCCATCCAGAACTTGTGCCGCAGTGTATTAGCTGTGAAGACAGCTCTGTTGTAGTATGGGAAAGAGTCACACAAGAGCATAAACACCAGGAAATGGGATCATTGAACACCATTTGGAGGCAGAGTACCCACTGCATTTAAAGAACAATCGTTCTTACCTTTGTTGTCTAACTTGAAAATATCAGTTATAAACAACGCTAATTTTATGCCCACCCTTATCAGTGGAAATTAGTTAGGAGTTTCTTTTAGAATCTAAGTTCTTCTATCATATTCTGCTTTCATTTTTCATCCCTAGATAATTAAGACAAAAGAAAGCTGTAAAGGTTACTTTTAAAAAATTGCCATTCTAGAACTTAAGACTTGTGATAAAAACTTAACAATTGTTTGTCCTGTCAAAATCCCTTTAGTTGTATAATTGATGGTTGATACAGAAGTTTATATATGACCATTTTGACTGAAACTTTTCTAATAATGTGATAATCTTTGTAGGCCAACGAAGAACAGAGTTGATTAAACTGTCATTTTAATACATGTACCTCCAACATCTCTCTACTTCTTGAATAGCAATAGCTAGGCAAGACTGAGTGTTGCACATGGCTGGAAACTCAAGGACATGCATGAGACACAGAGAGGATGTTCTAGGCTATGGCAAGGATTCCCCTCTTGCCCTAAAGGAGAGGGAAAAAGTGATTTGGGCTCCATCACACTGCCTGCATGCTTAGCTTGATACAATGTTCATCGACACTGTCTAAACCTGATTTTCCCACTCTTTTCCAGTTCTGAAAGGGGCCTTGGTTTGCATGAAGATTTTCATATTCACTCTAATTTCACATTTTTGCCAAAGATTTACTTTGTTTTGTTTTATTTATTTATTTATTTATTTATTTATTTATTTATTTATTTATTTATTTTCTTCTCAGGAGAAAGATCATCAACATTCCTTGAACGCCACACATCATGCTGATAAAATTCCTTTCCTTGAGTCGCTGGGTATACCAAGGTCAGGACCATTTGTCTTGTGCTGTGGGATGATGCCACAGTAGGGGTTATGGGTAGAATCCCTTGTTCTCTTCTCTGGGACGTCAGTAAATCACCCAGGGACCTAGGGATCACCCCAGGCTTTGCTGGTAGGAAGCAATTTTAAAGACCTGAGCTTTACTCTTAAGACTAATGAAAAATTTCAGTGTGATGAAGTTAAAGGCCAGGATGGATGTTAGGCCTTATGATTCCATTGTCATGCAGGGTGAGCGAAGTTTCTTTGTAGCGTTCTTCACTAGTTTCCTTCTCTCTAGCAAGGGTCTGGAAAGGACAGGTCCTGTTTGAGTCTCAGAAAACAGGACCATGAATGTCTTCAGGGTGCTGGTTCTGGTCCTTAATTTCTAACAATATTAGCCACATGGTAGTCTCATTTTTTTTTATTTTGAGAATTTTTGTAATATTTGACATCTTGGGCAATTTTTACTTGCATTTACTTTCATTTAAAATCCCTGTTCTTTTTTTTTTTTTTTTGGTTTTTCGAGACAGGGTTTCTCTGTGTAGCTTTGCGCCTTTCCTGGAACTCACTTGGTAGTCCAGGCTGGCCTCGAACTCACAGAGATCCGCCTGGCTCTGCCTCCCGAGTGCTGGGATTAAAGGCGTGCGCCACCACCGCCCGGCTAAAATCCCTGTTCTTAATACACATGGAAGGGACGGTCACTAGAGTGGAGCAGATGGGTGCATTTGAAGTGTGCAGAGTGCGTGAGCCTTTCAGAGATGATGATGAAAATCACATTACTCACTGACTTTTCTTTCTTTTTCTTTGTTCTCTTTTGCCTTAGTCCTCCTAGAACTCCAGTGAAAGTTGTGCCTCAGATTAGACTAGAACTTGAGCCTGAAGACAATGATGATCCCGGGAGGAACAAGGGAACAGAAACTACATTGTAACCTGTTTGTCTTTCTCAAAACTGACAGTTACCTTGTTAACCGTTCTAATTTTTTTTTTTTTGGTCTGTGTATTTTAAAACTTTTGTTTGGTCACTGGCTGAATAACACAGTCACCCTCTCTGCTTCTCTCTTGCGTAGGTAAAATCAAGACGATAGTGTCCCTTTTCTTTAAAACAAACAAACAAAAACAGCGCCCGAGGAATCACACTTTTGTTTCCGGGCATTCAGATGTGTTGTCCTCTGACATGGAAATCCCTGTCACTCCAGACACACGCAGAAGCTGCCCTCGTCAAGCAGAGATTAAAAGTATTAAGAATTTTGTACCACTTTTTATGACACTGTTGAAGGAACTTAGGACCTAAGCTTGGAGCTGTGCTTACTGGCTTGCCCTTGTCTGGTAGAGCAGCCCTTGAGCTCCAGACAGAGTCCCTTCCTGCTTACAGAGCCCCCAAGACTGGAAACGTGCTGCTACCCACCTGCCCTTGCTCGTCAGCCCTGATCTTAGAGTTATCAAAAGCAGAAAACACTAAAGGTACTTCGCTCCCTGTAGAGAAACCTTGGCCATCATTGTAGCAAGTGCTGGAATGTCCCTTTTCCTATGCAACTTTTTTTAACCCTTTAATGAACTTATCTGTTGGGTACATTGAAGAATATTTTTCTTCCTAGATTTTGTTGTTTAAATTATGGGGCCTAACCTGCAACTTATTTTTTGTCAATTTTTTAAACTTTTTTTTAATTACTGTAAAGAAAATGGAATTTTTTCCTGCAGCAGGAAACATAGTTTTGAGTAGTTCTACCTCTTACCTGTAGCTGCCAGGCTTTCTGTAAAAATTGTATTGTATATAATGTGATTTTTACACACACACACACACACACACACACACACACACACACACACACACACACACTAGGGTAAGCCAGAAGGCTAGAACAAATTAAAAGAAAAACAAAACACCATGTTTCTAAGAATCTGTTGGGTGGTTGTGGTTTTTTTTTTTTTTTTCCCCTTTCTTCCAAATAAATGTAACTGTTCTGTGAAGGAGTTTGGGGAGAGAAATGTGGAAGAGGAGAAACTTCTGCTGCAGTGGTGGTCATGCTGGGGGCAGATGCTGGTGTGTTACATGTCCATGTCCTATGCAGTACTGTTAAGGGTTTCCTCATCTTAATAGTTCGTGTGCTTGTGTACGAACTCTGTGTGTGGCTGTTGCACACTTGTGCAAAGCCAGATAAAGAGTGACAGTAGACAGAGGGCAAAGCTGTCAAGCCCCTTGTGTCCGTTTTCATAAAACCCAGACCACTCGTGAAAACTCTGTCAGGAGCCGAGAAATTTATCATGGAAATCCAGGCGAATGCATCTTACTAATCCCTCAGACCTCAGTCAGCATCACAGGTAACAGCGGTCAATAGTTAACTATTGTTAACTATTGTCAATAGATAACAGCACAAAAGCCATAAGAACATTGACACCCTGTCACACATCTGTAACGGGAAGAATGAACATGGAGCCGCAAGGACAGTTTAGAGTGCCCATTTACATGTGTTTATAGAGCAAGGTGGTTGGATCACTTAGAATGTTATGTGTGTGTATGTGTTTCATCATCCTGTGTTGAATAATTAGGCCTCTACTAGTCAAATTGAGTGTGCCATTTGATTGCTATATTTTCAGTAAGTCACATTATATACCGAGTGTATTTTAAAATAATAGTTTAGATGTGGAATCCACACTTTGGGATTCGTATAGCAGCAGTAGTGATGCACACTCACTGTCAGGGTTTGCTAGAGGAGTTACAGAAGCAGAGTTGAACCGCTTTTTGGTTCTGTGGTGTGCTCTTACAGACACCCCCCCCCCCCCGTTCATATAGTAACTAAAATATAATTCTGCTCTCCTGAAGTTTTGATGATAAGAGTTCTATTATCCTAAGTTACCTGTTACTTTTACAGTGTATGGTTCATCTTGAAACTTTAAATTTTATAGAAATTAGGTATAAATGACATCATAAAGAATGCTGTCACTGAAATGATAATTAACGTTATTTGTTAACATCTCAAGTGATACATTTTACATCACATTTGTATCCAGAGCTATTCTTAAAATGGTTGGTGTGTATTACCTAGTTTCCTATTAAACCACATAAGATTGGTTCAATTTAGTGATTGAAGCATCAGTAGAGTGTTTTAAGTCATGCAGAGGAAAGGCAGTCCATCTTGATGTTAAATCAAAGCCACTTCATTTACTTTTCTGAAATCTCCGGATATATATTCTAATTATGAATCAAGTTTATTTTGAGATTCATGGTCCTCTGTATCCTTTTCAGAGAGCTCCTGAAGTAACCTAACTTATCATTCGGTCTTTGAGTAGATCTTGAAGTTATTGCAGCCCATTTATGGTCCCTATTCTTTGACTGGGGTGGATGGTTAGTATTCATGAAATGAACATAAAGCCATACCTTACATTTGCTACAAGGAATAGTTAGCTCCAAGCCCTTTCATGACTCCCGTCGTTCCCACACTTAACAAGTAGGACCCCAAATTTCCATGGAAATACCACATTCTATGAATCTGGCTGATTTTGCTTCTTGGCTGGTAACTCAGCAGACTTCAGGGTGGTTTTGTTTCTATGTAAACTGGACACAAATACAGTGATGAATTGTTTATAAGCCTTTCTGCCCTTCCTCCCTGGATGTGAATTTGGAGATTATTTCTTGAGGTACAGACTCAGAGTTGTTGACCAGGAGTACTGTGGTAATGCAAACAGACTGTGAGAAGGAAGACGGTAGGCTGAGCCTGCCTACCGAAGCACGAGACCTCCAGTCTGTAGAAGCCCTTGGACATGCTGTTCCTTTGCTACTGTGTGCAAAAACTACTTGGAATCCTAATTGTTTTGTGTGTTGGAGGCAGTGCTGTTTCAGCTTCTCCTTCCAGTAAAGTTGAGGGGCGGGGCTGGGAAGTACTCCCTTAAGAAGAGGCAATGGAAACCTCCCTCCTCATCCCCTAAGAGAAGGGACATCTGCTGTCAGTAATCCAGCTTATGTGCATTTTGGGCACATGTAACAACACACACAGAGTAAATCCTTTGTTGGCTGTGTATTGGTGTTTAATATAGCAAATGATTGTCTTCCATGTTTTTTTTTTTTAACTGTGTTAAAGTACTTGAAATGTATCGACTGCTGACTATCTTTCAAAAACAAAACCATTTGAGTTATATTACAGAGGTTGGCATTGATCGGAAATGGGACAAAGTTTTCTTCGATCTTTTTCATACCACTTCATGATTTTGGTGCAGGAATCTGAGGTTTTCTTCTTATCTCCTGTGATAGTTCCCATCTGCTCTCACAGCACGAGCATGAAGCCCAGTTGGTACCGAGTGACTGGGGACAGTTGGAAGACTGCAGCCCTTCCCTGTCGGAATAGCCTTGGGGGTTTGCAGATGACTTCACTGAGCTTCATGGCAGTCTGAAACGAAAACCCTTTTGTAATATCTGTGAATCTGGCGACTTGCATTTTGACCAGAGATTTGAATATGATATCTTATTCCTGGTTCATTTCATTGTGTTCTCTGGATACATACAAGAATCCTGAATTCTGTTTCCTAGGCAAATACTGCAACTCAGGGCTAAAGTCACCCAATGAATCCTTAGAGCCTGAAGTAACTTTGTCCCAGGCCTACAATGCGCAACAAATGCAGACTTGCCTCCTTGCAGCCATTGGCGTGGCTGGTACATATCCGTACACATTACTTTTCACAATCAGTACGCACTTTCAGATACTCTTATTTTTATTCTCTTAAGTCTTTATTAACTTTGGAGAAATGATGCATCTTTTTATTTTAAATGAAGTAGATCAACATGGTGGAACAAAATTATAAAGAACAGAAAACATTTCAATATATTACTAATAATTTTTTTCCAATATGAAACCTAAAATTCCTATAACATAGTATTTTACAGTTTTATGAAGCTTTCTATTGTGACTTTTATGGAATTAAGAGATGAAGAAGATGAGATATTTTAGCATTTATATTTTTCAAAATTAAATGTATACTTAAAATAAAGTAACTTTATGCATTTGTGCTTGTTGAGTGCTTCTGTTCAACTCTCTGACTGACTGCTTTATTCTGCTCCTTGGAGTGCTATAAAAACAAGTAGAAATATGAGGGAATGAGAGCACCTCCCTGCAGACTGCGGTAATCTCTCTAGGCAGAAGGATAAAGTAAATGTCCCCAAATATAGAAGATTGCAATCAGATATTTTATTGTTAATGAGATGTTCTTGTTCAAGGTTTATAGTAAATTAATAATGAATAAGGACAATGAGAGTAGTTTCATGGCGAAAAAATGCTGTCATTCCTTTTTTTTTTTAGCTACTAAAATAAAATATTTTCTTGAATCTAGGATGAGATATATATATATATATATATACATATATATATGTATATATATACTCAATAAATTTTTAAAGCAACCCAAAAGGCTGCAAAGTGTAAGCATTCATTAAAAAGTAATTACTCAAATGAACAAAATCCAAGAATGACTTTTTTCCATCCGAAATTGATTCCCCGAAGATATATTGCACACACTTCTCTCCAGCCAACTTGAGCATTCATCTCACATTTAAATGTCTCTAGGAAATATCAGTCTGACCCTACATTGTAGTTAGAAAGTGGTGATAATGGCAGATGAAACAAGTGGTCAGGAAGATGAGAAGTCACTATTGGAAGCAGAGAAAGTTTACATTGGAACAAAAACCAGGAAGGCAAATACTTTGTCCAGAGCAGTCATTTAATCCAGAAGTTTCATGAGATGCTTTCCTGGATACATGGTGTGGGGATATGATGGCAGACTTGAACCCTGAGCTGTAAGAACTAGCCAAGCCCGACTCAGAAGAGATCGAATATGGTAAAGTTTTACCAATTCTCTTAGAGAATTAATTAACTATTATCATGTATACGATTACCAAGTCAAGAAATGAGGATAAAAGTTTAGTTTGTATATTGTCACCAACTAAGTAACAGGAATTCTCCAAAGAAACTGATACGTACATGGGAAGACGATAACACTGCAATATTTGTGTCATAATACATATGCTTGCTTCCAAAAAATGTAATGCAAAGGGAAGATTTTAAAGGTAGAACTGTGGAAAGTTATGTAACTTTGGAAACAACAATCCTTTGACACAGTGATTAGGAACAAGGTAGCAGTGGCCTGAAGTGGACCAGACAGTGTCTCAGCTGATGCCTGTGTAGGAATGCCTTTTGAATTGGGTTTCTGCAACCATGACTCAAGATGGAGTTGCCAACAGAATCATTTGTGGAACTGCCACCAGGAAGTCAAAGATGAGAACTCTTCTCTGTGCTGTACCAGTTTTACATTTTTGTTAGAGTTTACATGCATACCTTATTCTTACTGACAATTTTTACACTGAAAAGTGACCTACTTTTATATCCCCACAAAGTTTAAGTATGCAACCTGGCCTTCCCCACCTACTAGAGAACAAGGATGTAACATAAATCTCTGAACAACCACACTGTGTCTCATCATTAGGCATGAAAGCATGAACATCTGAGGTCTGGGTGGAGGGCCCAGCTCATCACTCACATTCTCTTCACCCTTACTATCTTCAGACTGTCTGTCAGCTTAGTTTCTTTATCCATTTTCCATAGATATGTAATTATCTAATTATAAATACATAATTGTCTATTATGTATTCTTTGTAGATGTATGATATAGATAGGTAGTTATACATAAAATGTGATTATCTGCATTTTCTAAAGCATGCTGTCAGTTTGTTGAAGCAATTTGTGTCAAACAAATGGTGTCTGAAGTGGAACAAGAACATAGGCAGTGAGATATAACAGAAAATTATTGATAAGCATTAATAGCTGAGTTCTGGAAAGAAATGAAAAGTTATAAAGGTAACTATAAACTATATTCAGGAACTTAAGTTTTTGAGTCCAGAGCCCAGGATGTTACCATAGATCTGTAAGGCAAAGTGTATTGGTTCAATAATGATATAATCTGTTGATTAAATGATTTAATTGATTGTCTTAAAGGTAAAAAAAAAAGAATTGCAATCAAAGTTCAAATAATAACTTACAGCCAAGACAAAATTAAACTGTGTTCAGCTTAATCATTAACTTTTGGAACTGAATGGAGAACAACAACTGACATATAAGTTGTACTTGCAAGTGGGTTATAGCCAAGGGGAAAGAAGCAGTTCAATAGGAAATCATGAGGGCCGTGATGCGTGCTGTGAGACTGCATCTCCTAGAAATGTCAGGGGCGGTATACCCACGAAGTCTCATTGACAAGGCTCCCTAAACGAGATCTGAATGAGGACAAGACCAACAGACAGGATAATGTGCTAACGTGGACGGGGAAGAGTTTGTGGAACCTTCGACCCTAGATAAAGAAACAGCAGGCAGCTATGGAATGCTGAGACAAGGAGAAGATGGTCTTCCCCAGAGAGGATTCTCCCATTTGGTTGTCGGGTACCAAATGGTCAGCCCTTTAATATATGCATATAAAGCAGATTATATATTTAGTGGTTGTGTGTGTGTGTGTGTGTGTGTGTGTGTGTGTGTGTGTGTGTGTGTGTGTAAAACAATAATTAAAAGAGCCAGTGGTGCTGTGGGATGGTCTGTATGTCAAATGTGTTGCTGATTGGTCAATGAATAAATCACTGATTGGCCAGTGGCCAGGCAGGAAGTATAGGCGGGACTAACAGGAGAATTGAGAGAACAGGAAGCTGGGTGAAAGAGACACTGCCAGCCACCATCAGGATAAGGAAGATGTAAAGTACCGGTAAGCCACAAGCCACGTGGCAAGGTATAGATGAATAGAAATGGATTAATTTAAGCTGTAAGAACAACTAGCAAGAAGCCTGCCACGGCCATACGTTTTGTAACCAATATAAGTCTCTGTGTTTACTTGGTCGGGTCTGAGTGACTGTGGGACTGGCAGGTGAGAGAGATTTGTCCTGACTGTGGGCCAGGCAGGAAAACATTAGCAACACAGTGGTCCAGAACTTGAGAAGAGAGGAAAGTGGGGAAAGTAAAGGGAAGGGTTAGGGAAGGAAAAGAAAATGATATATTTTAATTTCAATTTTTAAAAGTTGTGAGTCAGTAGAACTACTGTGATGGCTAAGTAGATTGTATTACTTTTTGCTCTTGCAGAGGACCCAGTTTTGCTTCCCAGCACCCATATGGTGGGTAACAACCATCTGAAACTCCAGTTCGAGGGGATTTGATGCCCTTTTCTAGCCTCCACGGGCACTGCATGCATGTGGTACACATAAATACACGCAGGCAAATACCCATAAACATAAACTAAAACTTAGTTTCTTTAAAAATTATGTTATGATAGAAATATGTACTGGGTAGAGTGGAGGTCCAAGTGAAGATACTTGTAATTCCTTAATAATTACCGGGGCATTTCTAAAGCACCCTGGCAGTTTATAAAATCAATATGTATCAAACAAATGGTGTCTAAAGTGGAATTATGAAGATAGATAAAGAAAACATGGAAGGTATAAAACAAAACAATGAAAGGAGAGAATTAACCATATGCATTGGTTTGGATGTCTCCTCCAAAGATGATGTTGAAGGTCAGTCCTCCCTGCAACAATACTAAGAGAGAACTTTAAGAGGTGATGGGGTCAGAAAGGATTCTGCTGTCATGACTGGATCAACCGCTTGCTACACAAGGACCTGGTTATCTCAGGAATGTATTCCTCATGGGGATGAAATTGACCCTAGATTCCTCTCTCTGTTTATCTGGTGTATGCTTGTCCTTCCAGGAGGTTAAGATGTAGCAAGAGCCCCCCCCACCCCCCACCAAAGCCACACATCTTGGACTTCTTAGCCTCCAAACCTATACGCTAAATAAATCTCTTATTTTGCCTTTATCCATCTACCCATCCATCCATCTATCTGTCCGTCCGTCTGTCTATTGTGTGTATGTGTGCCAGTGCACAAGTGCCATGATGCATGTGTCAGAAGGCAGCTCTTAGAGTCCACTCTCTTCTGCCGTCTTGTGGAACCAGGGTTTGAATTTAAATCCTCTGGCTTGAGCAAAGGTGCCTCCGCTTGCTGAGCCATCCTGTCAGTCAGCCATCTCTTCTCATTACGAGTTACCCCGTCTGTAATAGTTTGTCAAAACAGCAGAAGAGAGTCTAAGCCATGATGTAGCTGTCAAATCAATTATTCAGTAATTATTGGATTCCTGACCATTATCAGATTCTTTGGATGGTTAAAGCAGGGGGGAAAAAATGGACATAGTTCCTGCCCTAATGAAATGGGTGATTTAGAAAGAAATATATAATGACTGACTGAATGAGTGAATGAAAAAATACAGAATTACAGTAAATGTTATAAAGAACAAGTGATGATACTATGAGAACAGTAGAGGGACAGTGGTGGACTGAGAGAGGAGGGGAGAAGAGACCTGGCATATGTGTAGGAAGCTGGGTAGACTATGAGGTTGGCCCAGGGACGGAGGAAAAACCATTGCAATAAGGAAAGAAGAAGTCAAAGAACGATGAAAACACTAATTCATGGGGCAGGGCATCTCTGGGTAGACTAGGGACCGAGGAAGTGGGAGTAACTAGTTGAAGCCACTGCATGGCGGGGAGATGGTGGTCTGAGAAGAAGCCTGAATAAGGCTTTTCAGCGAAGAGCAGCCTCTGGGCAGCAAGTTCAAGAAAATGTCTTTAGGAGATGGGAGTCCTCTATGGTCTTTGACATCACAGACTTTATTCCAGGTCAGATGTTTTAGATTCACATTAAGTCACAATGGAAATCCTTTAAGGGCTTTTGAGAAAGGAAACAATTGCTCAGATCTGACAGAAAGAAGCCTGGTGTGGAGAGACTAGAAGCAGACTGACCAGTGGCAATAATCCCAATGAGGGGTGTCAGTCAGGCTAGTCCACATTTACAGGTGAGTGAACAGGATGGACTGAAAACTACTGAGACCCAAATCTTGGATTTTTTGTCCTTCTTTGTGTCCTTCCTTAATGAATTCAGTATCAGCACTTTTTAAGAAAGGTTTTATTTCTGGTTACCCCTTCCC